GGCAGCGTGCTTTTTTAGCTTTTTTTTTTTTAATGTTTTGTAACTATAGTTGAGGTAATAGCCTTACTATTTTGTAACTATAGTTTAGGTAATAGGCTGAATGTGTTTAAGTCTATATTATTAATCTACAAAGTTACCACACCCACCACCTTTGAGTTCCCATGACCCTCTACCTCTGTCCCTATGTACCTTCCCTCCCCTCCCCCCAGCCCTCCACTATCTATTGGTTGACAGGTGCGGGTTTGTATATACTGTTACTGCCCTTAGCCGACCCCCATCTGATCCAGACCCTCCACTTATACTCCTGGGTTCCTGCCTGTTTCCACAGCACTCCCAACCTGGCATTCTCAGGTCTACCAAACAGTGCTCATGAGTTGTTTATTTACTGTAGCTTTAGAAGCTACCAGCATGGTGGTGAATAGTTAGGCTCTTTTTCGTGAAGACAGAAAACAGCCTCCTAACTATCTTGTGAAGCTACTGCTAAACCCTTCACTCTAATGCAGAGTCCTAAGACAGTAAGAACTGTGGCTTTAAACACTTGCATTGCAGCAGCTAGGAGAGAGCTCAGGTGTGGAAGCAATGCCTCGCAGTTACGGAGTCCTGTACCACATGGCTTCCCTACCAAGCACTGTCAGGTATAGCCCAGGTGGCCCCTGAGAAGCACCAGGTGTGGCCCTGGTACATCCAGCACTCCTAGGAATGGTCCTGATCTTCCAGCTTGCACTACTAGGTGTGGCCCCTATAAAAAAATAAAAATCAAACTTCCACTGTCTCTCTATGGCAGCTGTAAAAAGACTATCAGTGAACTTAAAGCTCAGAGATAAGTCAGAGACCCAAAGACATCAGCCATCACCTGGCCCCTGCACCCCTGAAACAGGACTGGGGTCCTCATGGAATCAGAACACCCACACATTTGAACATAGACCATGAACTCACTGTACTTGGTCCTCTTCACTGAGTTTCCACATTCAAGATCCACTGCTTTTGAAAAAAAATAGTGAAAGCTGCTGGTAGTCCTTGAATTGATGATTTAACAACTCTGAGTCTCAGTTCCCTCATTTATCAGATGGGCACAGAAGCGCCTATTTCATAGGGTAGTTAGGCAGGTAAGAGGAGAAAAGGGCAAAACGTTCTTCCAAGGAAGCTGGTGGTGGCCTGCCTGTCTTCCTGGCATGGCCGGGCTCTTCCCTGGAAGCTCCACTCCCCACTGCACAGCTTCCCGCCCCCCCCCCCCCAGCCCTCCTCTTCCTCCATAAAATGCAGAGTAAAGCTGCAACTCTGGCCAATAATAACAGATTAGAACATCATTGATCAAAACACAGATCACTGGTTCAAGAAAGGCCAAACATTTAATTCTCAGCACTGACCCACAAACCACGTGTGATCTCTGGCCCCACCAACTAGCATGATCCCTGAACACTGTAGGAGTGAGAAGAACAGCACGGGTGAGTGGAGGGAAATGAGTCATCCCAGCTAGCTGTGCCAGCAAAGTGCACTGCACCACCCCCTGTGGTCTGCAGACCCCCCCCCCCCTTCAATCTAAGGAAGCCAACCCCTCACCTGCTCTACAGATGGGGCTCGGAGAGGCCACAGCATCTGCCTCCTCTGTGTTCCAGACCTTCTTTGAAACCCGGGTGTGATAATGTGGAAACCTACGCAAGGCCACACAGGTTGGATTTAGGGTTTCACCCGAGGTCTGGTTGGAGCAAAGTTAACACTGTGACCCCCATCCGTGGCCTTTCCTGGTCAGCCCCTCCTCCATAGAGAAAGAAGTGTTCCATTTGTGTGTACTGAAACTGCAAGGGGCAAGCCCAGAGCGTGGTTACAGGACTCCTGGCTTAGAGCAGACACCAGCAGGGGCTCTGCAAAACTCAATCTGCCAGAGCAGAACACGGGTCAGGGGTGCCCCGAGGGCAGGGGTGTTCCCCCTCAGGCCCCTCTGCCTGTGTGGGCAGGCTGCTGGTTCTGGGAGGTGGCCAGAAACAGCCAGCTCTTCATGAGACAATGAGTCCACTGTCAACTGACTGGAGCTTTGATTAATATTTGCAAAAGGAACCAAATGGAAAATTCCACCTGTGTGGGTGGAGGTTGGGCCCAGGACATGTCAACAACCCTGGTGGCCTTGTCCTCTCGGGGATGGATCAGCAGCGAAACAAAGGTCTGGCTGATAACAGTGATAGAACCTGTGATGTCACCACGCACTCAGGTCCAAAGGAGTTTCCTTATTTGGAGCAGAAAGATATAGTTGGGGTTTTATTGTCCTGCCTTCCCTGCCCCGAAATTTATACCGCACCTTTGAATCCTCCCTACACTTTTGTCCTACCTCTGCAAAATCTCCTGAACAGAGCTGCCAAGTCTGATGATTTCAGAAAAATGAGGCCCCAAGAGGCCTCAAGCTGCTGGCAGGTGAGTGGTTCCGGCCGGGTGATCAAAACCCTGTCTGGTGGGAGTGAGGAGAGGGAGAGCCTGGTTCAGGGTCCATGGGTACTGGACATTTCCAGACCTGACTTTCCTCCTGGAAAGAAGAGGGGACACCCAGATCCACTCCCCTGGATGGGCAGGCTTGCTGCTGGCTTTGGAGGGAGCATTCATTCATGCATTCATTCAGGCAGTTAACGTTCCTTTGACACACCCAGTTATATAACCAGGCTGCCCAGCAGCTCTTTCAGAAATGAATGGGCAAATCTGTGCCCAGGGTGAGGGCATCTCAAAGTTTGCTGTCCTCGCATATTTGAACCCTCTCCTCTGCCACCATCACCAGCCTGCCTTAGCTACCCTATTTGACGGAACAGGAAACTGAGGGTCGGATGAGAGCAGTGACTTGCCAGAGGGCAGAGAGGGGGTGAGTGGAGGGCTCCCTGCTGCTGCTCACCTGCAAGGAGGCATCCTAACTCAGGTGCTCCTTCCAGTCAGCCAGCCATAAACAGGGACCCGTAGTACCATCTCCTTCCCCCTAGCCTCCATCGAGAAACCCCGGTGGGTTAAGAAATCTGCAGCATTCTTGATTCTGAGCCACTTGTGGGCATCACTGCCATCCCCAATGTCCCAGAGAGCTTCAGCCAAGCAGTACCATCTCTGTGCTATCCCCCCTGCTTGGACTGTGCACTCAGGGCAATGGAGATGGGGACCTGTAGAATAACACTGCCACAGGGAGCTCAGGTTTATCGGGTTATACCCATCACAGTGCTCCCGAGTCACTCCCATTCCTCTGTTTATCTGTAAACTCTTCTCTGTGCTCTCCTCCCCAGCCAGTTAATCACCTTTTCTCCCTAATCAGATTCTGTTAGCTTGTAAGATCAGATCATTCTAGGGACACTGAACTTGTACTGTAAGTTATGTCCTTTGCATAGTTTACCTTAAAGCAATGTCCTTTCTGTATGGACACAGGAAGACAGTTAATATTATGCTTTGTAACTTGGGAGTTGGTTGACTCCGAATAATATTTACTCCTGGGTAAATATTGACTTTCTTGACTCAGTTGCCCTTAGTTCCTAGCACCCCAAAAGCAGGGTCCGGACAAGGGACTGAATGGACCCAGGTCAAGCTGTGAGCTACCCTGGCATCGAAATGGGCCAGGCCAAAGCGCCACGATACTCAACTATAAGTTGAGGGCATGATCATAGACAAATGCTGTCATGATCCAAAAGTAAGTAACGACAAGACTAGGACCCTGCTGGGACTAGGAAGACTAACCTGACCTAAGGACTGTATATATATATATATATAGCACAGCGGGTAGGGCGTTCGCCTTACAAGCGGCCAACATGGCCGACCCGAGTTCGATTCCTCCGCCCCTCTCGGAGAGCCCGGCAAGCTACCGAGAGTATTCGATATGCCAAACACAGTAACAACAAAGTCTCCAATGGAGACGTTACTGGGCCCGCTCGAGCAAATCGACGATCAACGGGAGGGCCTTTATATATATATATATTATATATATATATATATATATACACACACACACACACACATATATATATATAGCAGAATGTATAGTGAGATGTCCTCAGGAAGAACCAAACTGTAAATTTATCTCTTACTGTGCTCATACAGAATGACATTGCTAGAAATATTAGAAGTAGACTTACTACAACTATTTAAGTAGATTACTAGCTGAGAAAAGAATACACCCTTGTTGGGATCCCACCCTCGATCAGATCTCCTAGTAATCTGGAATAAATCTCTTTAGATGAGATTTAATCCTTGAGTTAATCTCCTCCAGGAGTGGTCTTACCTCTCTTTGCTGATTTGTTAATGTCCAACCCACCTTTGTGTCACCACCCTCCGTGATTGCTATATAAACTAAGAAGGTAAGCTTGAAGGGGGCTTGGGGGCTTGAGAGCAGAGACTGAGGCTCAGGCTGAGGCGCGGGCTCGGGCTCGGGAGCTCAGGCTCCAGAGGGCAGAGTCAGAGGTGAGAGTGGAGATTGGAATAAACTACAATTGATACCGACCAGCCTGGCCCTCCTTCATTGCTTCACCTGCCCATCGCCATCGACCTCCCTGGGGTGGGGGAAAGGGCTCGAGACTACCGAACGCGGACAGCGGGAAAGATAGAGCACCGCCGGACTTTCTGAAAACACACACTTCAATATCCCATTCAATATCCCATTCAACATCTGCTGCTGTCTCCTTTCCTCCAGCTCCCTCTCCCCTACAGACCCCCTTGCTTTGCCTCTCCTTCTCCTGCACTAAGACCTACCCCTCTTCCTCTCTGCTTCCTCCCCTGGACAAAAAAAAAAACTAAAAACTTCCTGATTCTCCTGAAACCAAAGCCACCCCCTCTTGCCAAGGCACTCTAACTGCAACCCCCTGCTCAAGGAAGGTGCCCTACCCATCTGCATGGGGGGGGGGGTGTGCAGCAGGGAGGGGGTGGCTACCTCCTCCTTGTCCTCACCTCCTCAGCCCAATCCCCCACCCCCTACAACAACCCCTCTGGAAATATCCAAGGCATCACTCCTGTCTCCTGGTCCAGTTCTACCTCCCGAGCTGTCCCCTCACCCGCTCAGGGCCCTGCTTGGCCACAGCTGGGAGGGCAGGGGGCTCAGCCCAGGACCACGCAAGGTCTCACCTAATCGGGCAAGGACGAGAAGACGCCTTTCAGTGAGCAGCTGTCTCCTCGCGGTGAACCAGAGACTGGCCCTATTCCTTTACTGAAGCAGAAAACTGGCCACCACCCACCCGGCAGCCCAGGACGATGAGACAAAGTTCATGCTCTCCAGCTGCCAGGCAAGGCTTGCTGCATGTGCACTTCTGCTGCAGGGCGGGCCGTGCCCTTGAACATCCTCTCCCTGCGTGCATCTTCACTCAAGAGCAGCTATCTGTCAGCACCTGGGTGCAAGGAGACACCTTTGCCCGCCAGAATGGGCACCGCCCCCTTTTAGTCTTGCTGAGAAGAAAGGGGGGGCGGCAATTAGAACCGGAAGCTAACTCAGGAATCCGTCCCTGGGCTCCAAGATATCAGGGGAACTGAAAAGCTGCCCAGGCTAGGTGAGGCACTAAACTACCCTCATCAGAGCCGTTCCCCTCCTGGTTTCCCCGCAACCAGCCCTATTCTTTGGAAAGGGCACCTGCAACCTGACCACTGATGGGGTTGAGGCCCACTCCTCGAGGTCCACGTCGGACGGAGGAAGGCGAGTGGGGCCTGGCGCGCGCGCGCCCGCACACACACACACACACACACACACACACACACACACACACACACACACACACGCAGCAGAACACTAGCTGGAGCGCAGTTACGCGGCAAGTGGCTCGCCCCACCTCTGTCCTTTGCAAACGGAGGGGCAGAAGCGGCCACCTTCCGCACCCAGGAACCCACTCAGTCAACCTAGCCGGTCCTCCCCCCCAGTCCACTGTGTCTGGAAGGCGGGTCTGGGCACTGCGAATGGCTAGCGAGGGCTTCTTAAGTGAAGACCCCCCTCCTCCGGACCCCCGGCTCCGAGGGCGCGCGCAGGACTTGACTCGCGGGTTCCAGGGCAGTTGCGGCACCGAGAGACCTGACCTGAGCGCCCAATCTCCCACCCGCGGGCGCGGCAGCTTCGCTTCCGCCTCGGGGAGCCCCGGGGGCAGTGCCAGCCTCTCGGAGGAAACACTGTGACCAGAAGAGTGCGGGGAGGGGCTCGGGCCGCGCGGCACACGGACGCAGCTCCCGCCCGAGAAGCAACTCTCCGCTAAGAGGGTCCCAGGGTTGGGGGTGGGGTGGGGTGGGGTGGGGGAGGGGAGAAGGGGGAAGGGGGAACATCTGCTGCCCGCTTTCCACCCGGCGGTTGCGGAAAGTGGAGGCCCCCATCTCGGTGTCCCGTCTAAGTCCTGCCGACGCCCCCCCAAACTCAAGCCCCGGAGCGCTGGGAATGCGGCCGACAGCTTGCGGATCGGAGCGCCCCCCACGGCCCCCCTCACTCACCCCGGACAGCTCGGCCCGTGTGCGGAGCGCGCAGACCCAGGCGGAGCGGGGCGCGCGGGCGGAGCTGCGGCCCGGCCACCCCCCTCCCTGCCCCGTCACACTTTAACCGGCGGCGCCGGCGCACCGCGCGCGCACGTGGGTTCCGCGGGCGGAGGGCGCGGGGACCAGAGCCCAGCAGGGTCACCGCGAGCACCCGGGTCCCGCGCGCGCGCACCCGGACCTCTGTGCCCCTGTGGATGCTGGGTTGGGGGTCTGGCGCGCGCGGACCCTGCTCTGCCCCGGAGAGTTCCACAGCCTCCTCGGTGCACGTCTAGGGTACCACATCCTGGGAAGGGGTACCTGGGACCCGCCCGCCCCTTGCCCAGCGGTTGGGCCAGGGCGGAGCCCCGAGAGGCGGAGCCCCGAAGGGGTGGTCCGGGGGGTGTCAGGATAAGAGCGCAGCTCCTGGCGGGCGGGCAGTGGCCCACGATGTCGCTAGTGCTGTTGTGCCTGGTCACGCTGTGCTGGGGCCCCGCGCACCCGGAGCCGGTAAGCCGCCCCCCGCCCCCGCCCGCTCCCCGCCCCAGGTTCGGGTCCTCTAGAGCCCCACCCCTGACAGCATCCTACCCGCCAGCTCGCTCTTCCCTGCTTCTCCCTGAAGGCGTTCTTGGAGAGCGTCGAGGGCAGTCCGCGGGGACCGAGCATCCACATGCTTGGGTCGGGGCTGGGGAAGCACAGTTTGCGCCAAACTGCCACCTGTGCTTCTGTTTCCAGCACCCCGGTGTCCTCGTCTGTCAAGACGACACCAAGAGCCAACTCTCAGGGTCTGGGAAGCAAAAAGGCTGACGCAGAGTAGGCGCTCCGCGTTGTTGTCACGATTTGGGCTCTGGGGGTCTGCCCATCTTTGGGGGACACGAACATGCTTCCACAGAAGCCGCTGCCTTTGGTGCTGCGTTAATTTGCACCCTGCCCCCAGAGCCAGTGGGGTCCTGAACTCCGCACAGGTTTCTCCGCTCCTCCAGCGCCTTGAAGGATTGAGGCAATGTTCTGCTCAACCCCCAACTGGTATTTGAAGCTGCATCATCACTGCCCTCAGCACAGCCGAGAGCGTGACAGCTTGGTGGCTACCAATTGATGTTTGGGAAAAGTCCCTTCATGGGCCACTCTCCTGTCCCTCTTTCTTGCTTCCCTGGGGCTTCTTCACTGGAGTAAGGCCAACAGTTTGAGTGGTGTGAGGTTGAGGGCAGTTGCTTTGCTTCTTCCTCACACTTGTGCTCCCTTATTACCTTAAAAATAATAATAAAGTAAAATCTGCTGATATCCTTGTTATTTCAGCTTTTGTTTTTGTGTTTGGGCCACATCCCACAATGCTCAGGGGTTACTTCTGGCTCTACGCTGCGGAATCACTCCTGGCAGAGCTCAGGGGATGTCCATCACTGGGATGGACATCCAATGCAGGTCAGCCACATGCAAGGCTGTACTATCACTCCGGCCCTAGTTTAGCTTTTAAAAGACAAAAGATGTGAGACAGATCATTTCACCCAGATCCAGATAACTCAACCCACAAAATGTCTTCCCTTCTGTTTAAGAAGGTATTTGGAAATGATTCCAGAGCTTCTAAACTTATCACTAGGTCTTGTCATAGGAAGTTACTGACTCTCGAAAGCTTTTTGTTAGTATATATATATATATATATATATATATATATATATTGCTTTTTGGGTCACACCCAGCATTGGGCAGGGGTTACTCCTGGCTCTGCACTCACGAATTACTTCTGGCTGTACTCAGAGGACCATATAGAATGCTGGAAATAGAACCCAGGTCAGCTGCATGCAAGGCAAATGCCCTACCCGCTGTGCTATCACTCCAGCCTCCAAAACTTTTTGTTCTAAAGGTACAGGATTTCAAAACCAAAGTACATTTTTTTTTTCGTATAAAAGGTGACATGAGTAGTTAAAGTCAAAGGATGTAGTACTGTCGTTTCTTGGACATTGGTGATTTTTTTTAAGTTCTTTTAAAAAGATAATGTGATGGGGGCCAGAATGCTAGTACAGCGGGCAGGGACATTTGCCTTGCACATGGCTCACTTGGGTTCTATCCCCTGCCCCCCATATGGTCCCTGAGCTCCACTAGGAGTGATTCCTGAGCACAACCATGAGTAAGCACCGAGCACTGCTGGATGTGTTCCAAAAGCCAAAAAATAAAATAAATTAACATGGGAGTCAGAGAAATAGTACAGGAGGTCTGTATGTGCCTGACCAAAGTTTCAATTCCTGCATATACCATATGGGGTATATGGTTCCTTGAGCTCTCCCAGAGGTCACTCCTGAGCACAGAACCAGAAATAGCATCTAGCACTACTGGGTGTGCCCCCCCCCCCCGGAAAAAAAGGAAGAAAAGAAAAGAGGCCAGGGCGTTAATATAGGGGTTAAGATGCTTTCCTTGCACACAGCCAACCTCAGTTTAACTCTGGCACTGCATATGGTTCTCGGGCACTGCATATGGACCTTGGGCACTGCATATTGTCCTCGGGTACTGCATATGGTCCTCAGACACTGCCAGGACTGGCCCCGGTTCACTTTCATGTGTGGGCCCCCGAAACAAAAATGTTTTCTTAAAAAGATAGCATGGCAAAATTACAATCAAGTTAATTCTTTTATTTCAGTAGTTTTTTAAATTTGTTTGTTTGTTTGTTTTTTGGGGGGGAATGTTGTATTTTGGAAGAGGTTCTACCTGGTGGTGCTCAGGGCTTACTCCTGCTCTGTGCTTAGGGATCTCTCCAAGAGGGTTGGGAACCCTATGTGAACCAGGGATCAAACCTTAGTCAGCCACATGCAAGCAAATGCCCTATCCTCTATACTATCTTTCCAGTCACAGGGTTTGTTTATTATTATTATTAATATTATTATTACTAGGGGTGTAGTGATGTTTGGGGACTACTTGAGCTATATGCTTGTTCTCTACGGTGCTTGGGGGATTACGTGGTGCTGGAGGTCAAACCCAGAGCATCTGTATGCAAAGCATATGCTGTAGCCCTTTGAGCTCTCTCCCCGGCCTTGAAGTGGAAATATTTTATAGTCACAACTGACAGCCTGTTTGTGGACTGTGCTGGTTTACAGGTGTGGCTTACTTAGAAAGCCCTGTCGGTAAGACCTGGAGAAGATCCCACAGGCTGCATTTATAGCTTTCTCCTATTCCTCTTCTTAACACAGTCCTGGGACTGGAGCGATAACACAGTGGGTAGGGGGTTTGCTTTGCACACGGCCAACCTGGTCCGATTCCCAGCATCCAATATGGTCCCCCGTGTACTGCCAGGAATAATTCCTGAGCGCAGAGTCAGGAGTAATCCCCGTGCATCACCGGGTGTGACCCAAAAAGAAAAAAAAAGCTCCCCCCAAAAACCACAGTCCTTCACCTGAGAAAGTCATAAACACAGTGCAGACCAGTATTTCTCAAGTATTTTTGACCATGGCATCCCCTCTGACCTTGTTTCCTTCCTTTGCCCCCCAGTTGAGAAACACTGGTGTAAATTGTCCTGAAAGCCTACAATTACACAGAGAATGAGTTCAGAGCCATTCCCTGCTTGTAGCAAGGAAGGCTGAGGCCCAGAGAGGATGGAAATTCCTTTCTGGAATTTAAGTGGTGTGAGGGTGGTGTGTTCCGGAGGCTAATCTACAGTGTCTTGTGGTCTACAATGGTCCAGTTTTATCTCCCCCAGACTGTGAGGTAGAAACAGCTCAGTTCTGTCGCTCCCTCCCTCCCTCCCTCTCTCTCTCCCCCTCCTTCCCTCTCTCTCTCTCCCCTCTCTCTCTCTCTTTCTCTCTCTCTGTTTATTATATGTTTTTAAGGAAAAAGCTAGAGTTGGTTTTTTGCTTAATCTGACAACAGGCTGGTAGTTTGCTACCATTCATTCTGGTATTTGGTTTCTCTCTCTTGCAGATGACCCAGTGTGGCTCTGAAGTAGGTAGGTGCACGGGGCATGGATGACAGGGGCTTTACACTGAGAGCACAGTTGAGCTAAAGGGGGCCTGAATCCAGACAGGGGGTCCCCACGTACCAGATGAAGGATGCTAGTCCTAATGGGCCGGTCTCCTAGGTCAGAGACCATGGAAAGCAAAGACTGGAGTGGAGGGTGGAAAGCAAAGCCAATTACCGGAGGAAAATTAGGCACTGTGACGTAAAGTGCTTATGTGGGAAACAGGAGATCAGTATCTGAGAGGCCTATGGGGAGAATGGACAGACATCTGTCTGAGAAGTGTGGACAGGGAGAGTAAGCTGGAGGAGTGATGGGGCAGGCAAAGACTAGGAGGTGGGAAGAAGGTGCTGCCAGAGGATGATGTGGACTGAGACATGAGAAGGTTGATGTGATCCTAACAGACCTGTCAAATACACAATGCAGGATTCTAGATAGGCGCCTAAAGTGGAGCCAGATGCTTTGTAAGTAGAGGTCAGAGGTTGAGCATCACCGTGGCAACTAACAGCCAGTGATGAGATGTGCCTGTTCTGCCTTAGCAGGAAAAAGAAATGAATCTTGAAGGGGGCTGGATGGAGGTGTGTCATTGTTTGGGGCAGGGAAGGGAGTGTGATGGGCAGCCTCACCTCTTCTCAGGACCCTCTCCAGAGTGGCTGGTCCAACAGACTCTGATCCCAGGAGACTTGAAGAGCCTCCAAGTGGAGCTTGTCAAAAGCAATGTTGCAGCAGAGAACCAGACCATTTTAATGAAGATAAGCTGGATACTTCGGCCTGATGGTAAGTTTGCATCATTAGAGCTAATGCTTAGAGTGTCTACTCAAGTCAAAATGAATAGATTTGGTAACCCATTAATTCCACTCCAAGACATAATCACAATAAGATATATATACATATATACCAAAAGTCATATACTAGAATATTCAAAGTACTATTATTTATCATGACTAAAATATGAAATATATCTGACATCTGACAGAATTGAAACCACAAAGTAGAATCAATGTAGGAACAAACCTGAAGAATCCGTGACCAGCCACAATTTATATTTGTAATATTCCTATGTTTATATGTTGATTCATGTTTGTTTGCATAAGTCATATGTTGATCAACAGATGAATTTTCTAAACATAAGAAAATCAGATTCAAACATTTATATCTCTCTTCATACAGACCATATGAGTCTCCTAACAAAAACCACAAAAACAATCAGAGCTAATCTAAGCATTTAGTTACCTGGATACTGCCACAAGAATGTGAAAACTCAGTGGTACATGTCTTATCTACTTGTGTTTCTATTGGTTGTGTTCTACTTCATGGAAGAAAATAGTAAGAACAGGGTTGATTTGCTCAGGAAGATTATTTTCCCTCTTCTCAAAAGCATCAAGAAAGACATGACATTTCCCTGGTCACCTTGTAAATTATTTCACAAACTAATTTTTGGGTCTTAAAACCTGTATTGGTTCCCTCTAGTTAAATTGTTTCATTCTATCCAGTTTAGAATTGGGGCGTGAAGCATAGAGATGAGTAGACTGTTGACGGGATTGTGAAGAAGAGGAAACAAGAAGGGCAAGACAGACCCCGACCAAAGCAGAGGCTCTACTGAGGTGGGGGTGAGAGGCTGGAGAAGGGAGAGACAGGACCAAAGACCCCATCAGATCATTGAAAATTAGGTCCTTGCTTCTGAAACTGTGGGTGGTGACCTCATAGAGGAGTCACATCTCTGAATGTGTGGGTGGTGGACAAGTTGGCAACTGTAAAAGGCTTCTGGGCATGCAGTGACCAACAATTAATTCCAAATAACATGTGTGATGCTACCGAATGTAGCCTGCCCACACGGCAGAGTCTGGCAAACTCCCCGTGGCGTACCCAATATGCCAAATACCAGTAACAATGATGGGTCTCATTCTCCTAAAGAGCCTTGAATATAATCTCAGGGCTAGGATGAAGGAGACGTTACTGGGGCCTGCTCGAGGCAATCGACGAATAACAGGATGATTTGTGATTTGTGATTTTGTGAACATATGTGATAAATCTGAGCACTTGAAATGTTGCATTTCTTGGACCGAAAGAGCTGATGAGTGGGGAAGTTTTAGAAGCCCTGAATCAGAGGATGCAATAAATCTAGCACTAAGCGCACTGTTGCATTTGTTTATGGTCCTTAGAGGCTGTGATGCATGAACTGGAGCAGTGGGGATGGCCGGAAAGGGTATTTTAGGGATAGGAATTGGCACAGTGAGGAGGGTCTCTTCTATATGTCCTAGGTGTTCTTTAGGGTCAGCCTTGTCCTCTTAGCAGACCATGAGTTCTCTTTCTAGTCACCTTCGCAAGTGAAGGCTCACCTGTGAGGGCTTTGTACTCATCTTCTGCCATAGATAAGCTTTGTAAGTTTACGCAAAACTCCCTAAGCCACACTCACCCCATCTGTAAACTGGAGACAACAGTACTTGCCCTGCAGGGCTAATATGAATGTGAGCAGAGATGAGGCATGAAAGGTTTCACACGTGAAGTCATCACTGAGTATGTGGTAGATGAAACACTGCCCTCTTGCCTATCTTGGCAGCCAGCATCCTGTCACTGAAGGCCACCAAAATCTGTGTGACGGGCCGTAACAAGTTCCAGTCCTACAGCTGTGTGAGATGCAACTACACGGAGGCCTTCCAGACTCAGCTCAAACCCTCGGGTGACAAAGTAAGTAGGCACTTATAGGGACTCAGAGGATTGCTGTCAAATCTGGGTCCTTTGTGGAGTCTAGGGAACACTGCTTGGTACACAGACAGGTAAGCAGCTACAATTCTGGGCTTGGAACGGGACCCGAATTCAAAATCCCATGATTTGAATCACTTGTCTGCTATGTACCTTTGGGTAGTGAGCATCTCTGGACTTCGAGTTTCCCCTTCTGCAAAGTGAGGGGGGACAGAACTGAAATTATACCCTGGTTCCAAGAAATTATACCCTGGTTCCAAGACTCTGCATCTGTAAGTTAGTGATATGTATGGGGTCTCTTCCCTGAGTAGACCTTGACTTGTAACCTAAATTTCATCTGAAGAAATTAAACTATTAATGAAAAGGGCCACACCAAGACGTTGTCTTTCAGAGACCCCCTGCTTTGCCTTTCAGTGGATGTTTTCCTACATCGGCTTTCCTGTCAAACCGGAGACAGTTTATTTCATTGGGGCCCATAATATTCCCAGTGAAAAACTGAATGGAGATGTCCCTTCCATGTCAGTGAATTTCACCTCCCCAGGTAAATGTTTACAGGCTTCTGTTTTCCTCTTTCTCACTAATATGTTTGCTTGGGGTTTTGTGCTTTGGTACAGAGAGATAAGGGAACCTTGACAAGATGTTTGGCTTTGCTGAGTCTTTTTTGGGCTGGGGGTGGGGTGAGAGTTTGACTCGTATGCAACAGTGATCAAGGCTTATTCCTACCTAGTTCTGCGCTCAGAGATCACTCCTAATAGGGCTCAGGGAATGCAGTGCTGGAAATCAAAGCAGGGCCAGCTGTGTGCAAAACCAGTGCCTTAGGGGGCTGGAGCGATAACACAGCGAATAGGGCACTTGCCTTGCATGTGGCCGACCCAGGTTCAATTCCCAGCATCCCACATGACCCCCTGCCCCGCCCCCCAGCACTGCCAGGAGTAATTCTGAGTGCATGAGCCAAAGAATAACCCCTATTCATCGCTGGGTGTGACCAAAAAAAAAAAAGACCAGTGCCTTAATCCCTGTTCTAACTCTCTCTCTCTCTCTCTCTCTCTCTCTCTCTCTCTCTCTCTCTCAAGCCCCTTGTTTATTCCTGATTGTATCTCACAAAGATAAAGATAAAAGTGGGTAAAATGCAGGGGGAAAACCCCTTCCTGTGTAGTGGCTGAGCACTATCTTTATAGTTAGACCCCCTGACAGCCTGCAGGTTGTAATACCCCCATTGACCAAATAAACTGGAGAACTTAACTTGCTTTGAGTTACAAAGCAAACACAGAGTACAAAGTAAAAACAAACTCTGAGGCTCAGACTCCTTCTTGATCAATACCAGTGAGCGACTGCCCTCAGCTGAAGTCAGAAGTTGTTCTGGTCTGGGCTTGCCAGGGGGTTTGCTATTGGACAGCATGAGGCTGGGGCTGAGGTGCTACAGATTCCAGAAGGCTCTGAGCGCTCCATGAAACAAACAATTTCCCTGTCCAAAGCAGAAAGCTGGCTCATTTGCCTCTGATGTGAACCGATCTAGAATCACGTGGCAATGACAACCAGGGCTCTGCAGGGGGCAGGGGGAGGGGGGTGGTGAATGGGATGTTGGGTGTCAGGGTTCAACAGGTGCCAGGCTGCAGCAGTTCCTTCCTCAACCCCATCTTGGCTCTATGCTCAGGAATGACCCTTGGTGGTACTCAGGGAACCTGGTGATATTCATTGCCAGGGATTCAAACCAAGGTTGGCTCATGCAAAGGCAAGTGTCATACCTCCTGCACTTTCTCCATCCCCCCCAAACTTTATTCTCAAGGGATGCTCTGAGCCTCTCTTGGGAAGCACAGATACTGTTTTGAAAAAGGATGTATTTGAAGTAGACTCTGGTTATTGATCCATGAGTGGGTCATTTTCTGTTTTTCAGTAACATCTTAATCCCATTTAAATCTACCCTATTACTTCAGTTCTGGAATATTCTGGCGATTCATTATGAGCATGGTAGATAGAAGCCCAGCATGCTGGTTACCAAGATGGTGGATTGGAGATGCCATCTTCTAAAATATTAAAAAAAAATGAACAAAAAGCCAAAAACAAACAAAACCCTCCTCTCATTCAAATTTTCAGGCTGCCTAGACCACATCATGAAATACCAGAAGAAGTGCATTAGCGATGGTAAGTAAACACAGCATTTGTGTTTGTTAGTAGAAACTCATAATTAGAGTCGATGCAGCTCAGTTCACCTTCTTACAGACAGAGAAACGGAAGCTTAGAGGGGTAGAGTTAACTTTTTCAACAGTGGAGGTTGGTCCCTGTCAGCACTGCACCACTGAGGCAGGCAGCAGGTCCAGGGAAGGATTGACTCCAGCAGGTCTGCAGGGTGGAAAAACAGTAACAGAAAACTTCCCACTCCATAGCTCAATGGTGGTGCCAGTTGAAGGCCCTTTCTGACTGCATGGTAAGTCCTTCTGCTGCTCAGACCCCCTGTGTCAGCGGCCTGTGGCCATGGCCCTCCAACTTTGTGTTTAGATATGCAAATGTTCAGGGTAGGAAGCTTAGTTAAAGAAATGACCTAGAATCATACTATCCACTGTGCCATCACAGACTACACCAGAAGTTCCCAAAATTATTTGGCCTATTTCCCACACCTTCCACTTTTAGGGGGGGGGGAAATTACTGAGTGCCCCTCCCCCCTAGAAGTCTGTCTTATTTAAGCAGACAGAGAAAATGTCCCCTGACTGCACTGGAAGCTAATATTCCCTCCTGGATTGGTCTAGCACCTCCTGGGGTTGTTATCATCCACTTTAAACACATTGGGACAGACTCATTTTGGGTGGGGGGCACATACTCTGTGGTGCTCAGGGCTTACTCTTGGTTCTGCACGAGATATCACTCCCAGCAGTGCTTGGGGGACCATAAGAGGTTCTGGGGATCGAACTCAGGTTGGTCCCATGAACAGCAAGCACCCCGAGTCTGAGACAGACTCTTTGAATGGATCCCTACCCTGGGAATTCTGAACTAAGTCCCTTCAGGAGAATTGGTGGCCGTTCTAGGTTATATTCCTTACTTCTACACCTCTAGTAAAGCCTGTCCAGTTTCCAAGGGTTTTACGAAGATGTGTATAGATTTTGGGCAACATAGTCACAGAATGCTAATGAGGCAAGTGGTACTTGGAGCAGTAGGTTCTGATCTTTTAGATACTTTCTTCCGTGAAGTATCCCCACATGCCCCATCGAACACAGCTATGTGTGGCTGGGAAGGCAGACTAGGAGCTTTGTGCTGCTGCTTTTGCTGCTGCCCTGAGACATCCCATGGGTGAGGAGATCTGAGGATCTTGAACCAATCTTTTACTCCAAAAGACAACGTTGAGCTGGGGCAGGGAAATAGCCAGGTGTGCTATTATAGAGAATGTGCCTGAAGATTAATCTCCTTCTGATTTGCAAGTCCTATGACTGGAAATTGCTTTCTTTCACAGGGCAATGGGCCAGATGTACTCTAAGGTTTTCAACCACTGGTCCATGGACCAGTGCCCTGGCACAAAGATAAAAGGATTGAAAACAACCTGTGCTATAAGCTACAGGTTCAAAAACTTTCTTATTTGCATCATCTGGGGAGCTTCAAAATTCCTAAAGTAGGCCACATTGATGGTGCAAAAGGCTGGGTGCTTTCCTCACACGCAGTCTACCAGGGTTCAATCCCTGGCACTCCGTACAATCTCCAGTCCCTCCTGAGTCCAAAACAGGATTAATTTCTGAGCACTGCCACGTGTGACCAAAAACAAAAACAAAAACAAAAACAAATCTTTGTTTTTAATATTCCCGGTAACAAGGTTGAGGGCTAGACCATAACCATGACAATGACATCAGAATCATCTCTGAAGGGGATCCGGGTCTCATTGTTTTAAGGTTGTTCAGGCGATTCCAGTGTTATCAACTTTGAGAACCGCTGTTCTAGGCTATATTCCTTACTTCTATACATCTAGTAAAGCCTGCAGAATAGGCTCATGATGCTGGGGCCTAGAAAGTTCTGGTAGCTGTAGTCCCGATCTTGAAGTTGCATGCTCTGTAATCTTAGATGGGATTCTTGACCTGTGACTCCTTCTTCCCATGTGGGAAGGAGAAAATACAGCCCTTAACTCAAATGAATGTGAACAGTAGAACCCAGTTTGTGTGTCTCACACCTTCAGAAGCTATTTTTAGCAAATTAATAATGTGGGAGCAAATTAATAATGTGGGATCCCTAACTTTCTTGGCTAGTTTGAGATTTCTGGGAGAATTGATAATGGAAAGTATACTTTAGTAGATTCTGTATCTCTTGGCTATGTATCTATGAATTTTGATTTGCGTGGTAAACTCTTCTGGAAATTTAGAGGAGAAATCGGTTGCAACTTTTGTGCAGTTCACTTGTGCAATTCTTTTTTAACTCACAGGAAGCCTGTGGGATCCAAACATGACTGCTTGTAAGAAGAACAAGACAGTGGTAGAAGTAAACTTTACCACCAGTGCTCTTGCAAAAAATTATATGGCTCTCATTAAAAACCCCACTCTGCTGGGATATTCTATGGTCTCAGAGGTACTTTCTCCTTCGTTTCCTCAGCAATCTTCCCCACTAACAAAGCCCTGCTTTTTCTTACTTTGTGAAAGAAACACTGGTATCACTGTTGACCTGTTTATTGTCCTAGTGTAATGTCCTGTTTAGATTTGAAAGACAGAAGTCCCCAAGAAAATGTTCCTGGGAATCTAAAGCCAGACAATGGTAGAAGTTATGAAATGTATTTCTTGTCACCCATAGGCTAAAACAGTGTAAGTCTGTTTGTTCAACTCATTTGGCTCATACTTTTTGATCTTGTCTTATACACCAGGACAAACTAACTCGAGCTTCTATGGAGATTGTCGTAACTGAGGAAAGTGAAGGTGCTGAGGTCCAGGTACAGTCAAACAAAGCACTGAGGTGGAGGGTGACGGCCTCCTCCAGGCCTTGGAAGACTGGTTATTCCACTGCTCATTGCTCTTAAAGTGATTCCCAGTTTGGGAGAGATGAGTTTCTCCTCCAATTCACTTCTCCCAGCAGATGCTCATGCATGACCCCAGTCTGTCTTCACAGCAGTGAGGGTGGGAAACTCAGGGTTCATTTTTCACAGGGGTCACTGACTTCCCAAATTACTTTTCCTTCCTTCCTTCCTTCCTTCCTTCCTTCCTTCCTTCCTTCCTTTCTTCCTTCCTTCCTTCCTTTCCTTTCTCTCTCTCTCTCTCTCTCTCTCTTTCTTTCTTTCTTTCTTTCTTTCTTTCTTTCTTTCTTTCTTTCTTTCTTTCTTTCCTCTGGGTCATTCTGAGACAGAAGTATCATTTTATTACCCAAACCTCAGGTCTTTTTGATTTGGGTTTGGTTTGGTTTGGGGGCCATATGGGTGGTGCTCAGGACTTACTCCTGGCTCTGCACTCAGGATCACTCCTGGCAAAGCTTGGGGGAACATTTGAGCTACTGGGGATTGAAGCCGAGTCAGCCATGTGCAAAGCAAGTGCCCTAGTCCTATACTATCCCCCCATACTACCCCCATCTCAGTTTTATATTCAAACTAAAGAAAGAAAAAATTTGGACTCAAGAGTTTGCGTTCCCTACTCAGTGTATGAACATTGAAGGGCAATCTTTATCCTCTGAGGTCTGAGGTCTCCATTCACTCAATGAAAAACTGATGGGTGGACTAGCAGAAGCTCTTGAGACTCTTTTTAGGGGCTGGAGAAATAGCATAGCGGGTAGGGAATTTTCTTTGCACATGGTCAACCCAGGTTCAATTCCCAGCATCCCCTGAGCACCACCAGGAGTAATTTCTGAGTGCAGAGCCAGGAGTAATCCCTGTGCATTGCCGGGTGTGACCTAAAAAGAAAAAAAAAAGTCTTTTTTGACTCTTTTTACAGAATTTTATGATGTGAAACTGTGGAGAGTCCCAGTAGAACTCAAGATATAAAGAGTGTTTGTTGTTCATTCCCGAGATCACAGAGGCAGTGTTTCAAGATGGCTGAGGGTGTCATGTTAACATGCTGTGTGTCTCTTTCTCTCTATTCCCGTCCAAAGAACCAGAGTTCTCTAATGCCAGAAGATTTATGTCAAAAGAACATAAATAGAGGACACTGCTCTATTTTTTTAGAGGAAATATTCGATTAAATTTGAGAATAACCTAACCCTGTTAGAAGGGAATAAACATGTACAAAGTTTAAGTTTACAGCCCAGGAGTCAGATTTGTTTATGGGTTTTTTTTTTTGGTCACTGAATTTGAAAGCTCTGTTACAAAAGAGTGACCAAGTGAAAAGCTGTTCTGTTACAGTGCTCAGGAGGTGGCGGTGGGGTGGAAGCATGGCCTGATCAAAGCCAATGGAAAGAAATTTAAATGGAATTGTGGAAAAGAAAGAATGTGAGGTCCTGCTTGGAAGTGGGATGGAAACTTTCTGAATGCTCATTTTTCCTCAGTTGACTCCGTATTTCCACACTTGTGGCAATGACTGCATTCGACAGAGAGGAACTGTTGTGCTTTGCCCAGAGATAAGTGCCTTCTCACCTCCGGATAGCAGTAAGTGCCCAGTTGTTTCACAAGCTCAAAGGAGTTCAAGACATGAAGAGCTCACTAGCCACCCACCACTCCATTCAGTCCGTGACACACTGTGTGTGTCTGTGGAGTAGAGTGTATGTGTGTGTTTAGGGAATGTATGTGTGGTGCCCCTATCTGTGTATGTTGACTTGGGGTACAGTGAAAGATATTAGTGCTGTCCAAAAGAGTCTATAATCTGAATAAGAATGAAAGATTTATAAAATTATTCAAGATCGTTTATGAAACAGGATCTACACAACAGAAACAAAAATATGTAAAAACAGATATACTAAGAAACATATACCTTAAGGATCTGGGGGTTGGGGGAAATAATGGCATAAAAGAACTGGGCTTAGAAGGAATGTGCATTTTGGGCCAGAGCCATAGTACAGGGGGTAGGGTGTGTGGGCAGCCTTGCATGTGGCCAACCTGGGTTTGATTCTCAGCATCCTATAGGGCCCTCTGAGCACTGCAAGGAGTAATTCCTGAGTGTAGAGACAGGAATAAACCCTGAGCATTGCCAGGTGTGGCCCTATAACAAACAAAAAAAGGTTTAAAGGACTGTGTATTTCACTACATCAGTCTCAGTGGCACAGACCTAGCTGCTACTTGATGTAGTCACATAGCCAACCATTGCATAAGAAATAAAGAATCGCAGTGCCAAAAGACTCACCTCATTGGGGCTTGAGAGCTGCATGTTCTGGAAAATGTCTCCCTTGATTTAGAGATATTAGTTCCTTCATAGCAGATAGACAAAGAAGAAAGTGCTTCTGAACCTCTTCCATGACTGGGGGACAAATGTAAGACTTTATTCTTAGAAACTCAGCCAGGGACCAGAGCCATAATATAGCTGGTAGGGCACTGCCTTCATCTGTCATATCTGGATTTGATCCCCAGTGCATCATATGGTCCCCAGGATTGATTCCTGAGCACAGAGCCAGGAGTTAGCCCTGAGCACAGTTGGGTGTGGTCCCCAACCAGACAAAAATCAGTCAGATCAACTGAAGACCACCCAGGTGCCTAGTAGCCTGACTTCAGTCTGGTTATGCAGAAGTCTGAGTAATTCTGTATGCTTGAGCTCACCAGGTCCTTAGTGGAATGGAATTATCCTCCACATTTGCTAGATTAATAAAACAATTTTTGGAAATGCTACCTCTTCATACTATGTACAAAGTAGTTATACCCAGAATAATTATAATTCTTAAAAGAAAAAAAAACAGACATGAAAAACTCATCACAGTAGATCCGCATATAAGAAGCCAATAAAACTCTCCTGAACTTCTGAGGTCCAATTTTCTTTTTGAGATTCTAACAGAAGAATGGAACACTTTATAGAAAAATAGGGTGATCTTTAGCACCCCTACAGTGACTCTTGGTTCTAAAGAAATGTAAACATCTATAAAGTTAGAATAAAAAACTTAGTTTATAAATAGGAGATGATATGGTCTTTGTTTGCTGAGGGTGAATGACTTTGGTTTTTCCAGGCAGAAGCATGTTAGGTGTTTGGCTGGCTGTCTTACTTCCAGTTCTGCTAGTGGTCACATGGATGCTGATACTTTGGATCTATCTAAAGTGGAGGCACGGTAAGACATATCATTCACTTCTTTCAATGAAACCTGTTGGGGAGGATTTTTAAAAAAATTTTTATTAGTGAAACACTATGAGGTACAGTTGTAGACTTACAAATTTTTGTGCTTGGGTTTCAGTTATACAATGATCGAGTACCCATCCCTCCACCAGTGCCCATTCTCCACCACCACTAATCCCAGTATCCCTCCCACCCCCCATCCCCCATCCCCCCATCCTACCCTGCCTCTGTGGCAGGGCATTCTCCTTTGTTCTCTCTTTGAGAGGATTTTTTTAAAAGGAGATTCCTCTAGAAACATTTTGGCATCACACTTGGCCTGACAGTCAGAGAGAGCCCTTATTTAGTGCCTTGGACTTGTCCTAAAATAATACATACTGACTGGATCACACCCGAGAAGGTAAAATAGGGATTGGACTCTCAGAGCTGGTAAATACCACCTATTTTATTTTGTTTACTACCACTGAGACACCCCCAAGTACTAAAATTAAAGCTAAGAACAGATTGCATTTGACCTATGACAGGTATTGTATGCTAGTTCCTACTTTTGGTAAACATTCTTTTTTTTTAATTCTTTTTTTGGTTTTTGAGTTACACCCAGTAGTGCTCAGGATTGATTCCTTGCTCTAAACCCAAGGATTACTCCTGGTAGGGATTATGGAATCATATGGGATGCTGGGGATTGAATTCAGAGGCAAAGCAAGCACCCTACTCACTATTGCTCCATGCCCATACTTTTTACTAAATATTCCTCCATGGCATAAGAATCACCTTCACTTGAATTCATTTCTATACTTTAAGGCCTTTGCCAACTCAGAAATCAAGGAACTGAATACAAAAGTCCAAATATTTATATAGATGCCTAACTAGAGGAAAGTATGCTGAGAACAGTTGCTTTTCTCTTCACACAGAGAAAAGCAAACAAAAGTGCAGAATTTATATCATTTGTGATATAGCTAGAATAAGTTTGATCCTTTACTTCCTCAGTTAAAATACTGAAATTTGATCCTAGAAATACTTAAGTTCAGAAAATGTAGTTTGACCAGTATGTTACAGTACATTTTTATTCATAGTTTCTGGGTTTCGTTTTGTATTCTGTGCTACTGGGGATTGAGCCCAGAGAGCCTTGAACATGCAAAACAAATGCTCTACCATGGACCTACTTCCCTGGTCCCTGGTTCCTGTTCTGTCGCACAGTGGTTCTCAACTTTTTTTTTATATCTGTGATCTGGTACAGGTATGCAGACTAGTGGTTGAAAACCTCTGCTATAGCACAATAGATCAAAATTCTCTTTAAATTCCATTGGCTGAAAAGAGGGGCCACTGAACTTTATGAGACCATGAGGAAACTACCATGTTCAGGAGGAAAGTAAAACTACAGTTGAGTCCATCCAACTTCAAAACACAAGGGGCAGAGGTCAAATGTCTTGTCTACATATGGCTTAAGATACCAAAAACAACAACCCACCTAAAACAGAACAGCTTAAAACCCAAATGTTTCTATGAACTTATTTGAAAAGTTATAGCTTTAAAAAAAACTTGTTCAGTAATAGGATTTAGAAAAAAACATCTTTAAGGTTTAATCATGTGTTCAAAAGGAACGATGGGGAATTTTTTCCTTTGCTAACATAATGTCCCTGGGGCCCTGTTGATATTCCCTAGCAAAGGACAACACATCAGGATCAGGTAGAGCTGACCACTGATTTTCTTGCCCTTTCTTTTTCTTCTTTTCATTCAACCATTATGAGATACACAGTTACAAGGTTGTTTATGACTGGGTTTAATCATATGATGTTCCAATACCCATCCCTTCACCAGTGTACATTTCCCACCACCACTGTCCCCAGTTTCCCTCCCTCGACTTCCCCATCCTGTCTACCTCTATGGCAGACACTTTTCTCTCTCTCCCTCTCTCTTTTCCTCTCCCTCTCCGCTCCCTCTTTTGGGCATTATGGCTTTCAGTCCAGGTACTGAAGGTTATCATGTATATCCCTTTACCTACTTTCAGCATTCAGTTCATGTCCAGGGTGATCATTTCCAACTATCCTTGTCATAGTTGACCAGTGATTTTCAACTGTCATTTGTGGACTGAAATCAGTGAAAGAGAAATATTTCAACTTTACATTGGTTTTCTATCTCCAGTCTGCCAACTGGCCATCGGTACTGGTCCACAGGTGTAAAAGTTTAAGACCGTCTGTGTAGACTGAAATGAAATCCTGATTGTTAACAAGCAATAAATACTTCTCCTTCCTCCTGCTGCAGGAAGGGCCAGAAACTCCTCTCTCTCTGCTACCCAGTTGCTGCCGCCGCTGAAGATTCTTGTGGTCTATCCATCCGACATTTGTTTCCATCACACAGTTTGTTATTTCACTGACTTTATTCAAAACCAGTGCAGAAGTGAGATTATCCTGGAGAAGTGGCAGAAAAAGAAAATCGCCGAGATGGGTCCAGTGCAGTGGCTGACCACACAGAAGAAAGCCTCAGATAAGGTCATTTTCCTTCTTTCCAATGATGCCAAAGCTGGATGCGATGGCACCTGTGGCAAGGGCGAGGGTGGGACTGGGGAGGCCTCACAAGACCTGTTCCCCTTGGCCTTTAACCTCTTCTGCAGTGATCTGAGAAGCCAGGCTCGCTGGCACAAGTACATGGTGGTCTATTTTAGAGAGGTTGATACCAAAGAAGATTACCACGCACTCAGTGTCTGCCCCAAGTACTGTCTCATGAAGGACGCCACCGCTTTCCGTACAGAACTTCTCCGAGTCAAGCCGCGTGTGTCAGTGGGCAAGAAACTGGGAGCCCACCACAGCAACTACTCCTGTTGCTAGCACCTACAGGAAGCACAAGTTCCTGAAGCCTGGGGCCAGAGCAATAGTACACAGGGTAGGGCATTAGTCTTGCATGCTGCCGGCCCCTGTTTGATCACTTGCATTCCATATGGTCCCCCAATACTGTCAGGAGTGATCCCTTGAATACAGACCAGGGGTAAGCCCTGAACTGAGTACAGCCAGGTGTGCCGCAACCCCCCTTCTCCCCCACAAAAAAATCCTGAAGCCTTCCTAGCCCTCTCTTTACAAGAAGAAAACACTGCTCTGATAATTCTGGAGTTAATACTCTGTGCTATATCCCCCTCAGTAATAGGGAGTTCTCATAACATACGTTTACTTAAGTCTATATGCCAAAAATGATTTTAAATATCACTATTATAGCATTAGATAATAAAGAAACATTTTAAACCATAAAGCTAAATCTCATTAAATATAAGTTATCACATAAAACTGTACCCATTCTGAGAATGCAGTAATGAAGAATATCTCAGGCAAACATTGTCAGGGACAGTATATGCATTGCACTAGGGGCAGAATTGTCGAATTCTGTTGAATCAGTGAGTGAATGTCAAATTTAAGAAGCTCCAGCACTGGAGACAGGAGTTAGGGGCCTTGCCTTGCATGCAAGAGGCTTATCACATAGTTCACTGGTCACTGCCTGGTGTAGTCCTAAACTATATGGCTATGCTCAAATTCTTTGGTGAAAGACCATCTTTTAAAGCTTTTAAAAAATTCTTTTCATTCTTATTAAAAAAAAAAACAAACAAAAAACCGGAATTAACAAGCTGATCCATCTTTGCTGACCAGATGACTTTAGTATATGTGTAATCGTGTGTAATTTTTGCTTTTTGTATAGGATGTTCCTTTTGCAAACCTGATTCACATCTTGTCTTGTGTACAGGTGACTTTTAATATGAAAAAGTAAAATACTTGCATACTGAACACTCAGAATTCAGCACTGGTGAGACAGTACAGGGGGTGAAGCCCTTGCTTTGTATGCAGCTGGCTGGATTCTATCCCAGGCACCACATATGGTTCCCTGAGCCCGACCAAGAATAGTCCCTTAACACAGTCAGGTCTCAGTAAGCCCTGAGCATTACTGGGTGTGACCTTGATACAACAAAAAACCAAACAAAACCACAATTAATTCAGAGTTCCTTACATACATTTTTCATGTACACACACACATACACACTCCTGTTATGTTGGAAGCACTCATAAAGTAATTAACCTTTCTATAAATAAGCTGTAATGCTTTTAAGTGAAAAACAGAAACTACCAACGAACATAAAAACTTATGGCATTTGAAATCTTCCAGCTACTTTGTTTCTTAAAGCATCTTTAAAACATTTAAAATTTTAGACACCATGGTTGACAGTACTTAGTGTTCGGGTTTCTTGAACAATTCTTTTTTTGGTTTGTATTTTGGGGGCACCTGGCTGTACTCAGGGGTTACTTGGTTACTCCTGGTGTTGCTCCAGGAACCATACAGGATGATGGGGATAGAACCCAGGCTGACGGCGTGAAAGCAAAGCCCCTACCCACTGTACTATAGCTCAGGTCCCTCCTGCACAATTTTATCACCACCACCCCACCCCGCCTATTCCCCATCCGCATTTCACTTTCCTACTAAAGACCAGTTCTTAGTTTCTATTGCCTTTGGGCATGTTATTCCCCTATTAGTTTTTTTTATATCTTGCATGAGAGACCATTCTGCCTGCACCACTCTGGACCAATTTCATTCAGCATGATAACCTCTAGCCCTATCTATGAAGCAGTAAATTGCATGATTTCATTTTTTGCTCACAGTTGAGTAGTACTTCATTGTGTACATGTACAATGGATCCTTTGTCCAATCATCTGTTCTGGACACTTGGATTGTTTCCAGATTTTAGCTATATGTATAGTGCAGCAATGAACAAAGGAGTACAAATGTCTTTTCAGAATAGATTTTTGGGGCGCCTCGGATAGATGATAACAAGCGGCATTTCTGGGTCATATGGGAGTTCAATTCCTAGTTTTCTGAGTGTCCACATTTCCAAAACGCTGAGCCAGTTGACATTCCCACCAGCAGTGGGTGAAGTCTTCCTTTCCCCGTATCCACACCGACAATGGATGAAACTATTTCTTCATCTTTTTCTTAAAGCAGATACTATCAAAAAGTTATTTATATTAGCTTATGTATTTTTCTAGGAGTGCTAGGAATTCACATAATGTGATAATGATTTTGCTCTAGACTCAGGATTCGCTTCAGGCAGATGACTGTTAAAATAAATCTGTAAGTTAAATGGCCAGGTCACACACTTTCTAATAATTCTTATGGATAAAATAAAACAAAAATTTTAAGTATTAAAAAGTTTCATATTAAAGACATACATCTCATAGAGACATAGCAAATAATTTCCTTATACTGGCGGACTTGCCTTTGTCCTTTTTTGCTTTTGGGGGCCACACCTGGCAATGCTCTGGGCTTACTCCCTTACTCCTGGCTCCGCACCCACAGACCCCTCCTGGTGGTGCTGGGGATCAAACCTGGGTCTGCCATGCGCGAGGCAAGAGCTCTACCTGCTGTACTTGCTCTCTGTTCTTAACTATTTAGTAGGTCTCTAGCATACACCTTTTAGCAGAGAATGCCCAACAGCAGAATTCTCCATGTCGTAAGTCTCTGACCCATCCTTATCCTGTTTTCCACACTTACCTCCATCTCTTATCTACCCCATTACCCAGCTCTCGAAAAACAAGATGATGGCAGCAGGTGCCTGGAGGGAGCTGGAGTTCTTTTAGGCCTCCCAGCCTCTCTGAGTCCAGGTTGTGCTCACTGCCAACTCCCAGGTCGGGACAGAGCCTTCTCCTCTGCCCCAGGGCTTCCAAAGGAGTCACCAGAGGGCAACAGCTGTGTCTGTGCTTTGTTCTGGACTGTTCACAGATGAAGGGCACTGGACATAATGAACTTCAAAAGCTTTTACCTGGCTTTGAGAGAAAGAAAAATCCAGGGTGTGCTAACTTCTCAGTAATCAACATCTCACCTTGTTTATCTGGACAATACAAAGTGAACAATTCTAAATGACACCTAAGACATTCATATTTGGAGTTAGGAAGAAAAGCAAGTTTCCCTTTTTAGTTTTTATTCTGTTTAGTCAAAAACCCCACTCTACTGTATCCCATAAGAAATGTATCAAACCTACAGTATTTGGTAATAAAATCCAGTCAGACCAACTTTAAATCATTATCTCTAAACAATTTAGACCAGAATGAGTCTCAGTCTCTTCTGTAATCCAACAGAAAATGGGGAAAAAATACTCCAAAGCCCTTAACCATTTCCCATCCCCGACTCAGAAATCTAAGATGTAAGCCAGGACTCCTGTACCATGTGCAGCGGTGCTGGGCCGAAAAGGAAAGTGAGCTGAGCAGGCCAATCTTCCAGGTCACGGACACAGACCACAGTTCCCCGAGATGCTCCAGAGTGAACTGCAGTGCAGGGCTTTGCGACCTGCAAACCGGCAGGGGTTTGTACCATCACAGATGGGGGTTGGGTTTCTGAGACTGACAATTTACTAAAGGGTAAATTCATACTTATTCTCCAGTGTCCTGCAAGGCTTCGGAAGCTTATGGTTTAATCAACGACATGCTTCAACATAAAAGTTAAATTTTATTTATTTCTTTTCATGAATTTTAGCACATAAACCAATAAATTAAAAACCATGTTCTATAAAAGTTTTTATATATCAAGAGGCGTCTTTGGTCTCAACAGTGGCTTTTTCTGATCATTTTACCAGACAAAAGCGGCTCGCTCCCGCAACATGCGGACCCCAAAGCGCTGCCATTCTCGCTGGTAAATCCATAGTTCCTGGGTTGTATCCAGACAGGCCAACACTGCCCCTCCTTTCCATGCAATCAGCCGGGGATCCATGTCCTAGTGCAGTGGAAAAGGTATTTTAGAATAAGCAGATGGGATGTACATTCGATCACTTTTTAAAATCTGGGAACAGAAAAAAAAAAACCAAAACGCTGGACCAATATGTGAACAAGTGAGAATTTCAACCTGCACTTAGGACCCACACAGGAGTTGTGAAATTGACAAAAGAACTTTTCAGTTTTTTATGGCCAAAGATGTGACTACTCATTGTTCACTATTACTTCCACAGATATTTTTGGCAGGAACATACATTAATTTTTTTTTTAGTGAGGCTATACCCAGCTCTGCTCAAGGTTTACTCTGGGCTCTACACTCAGGGTCACTCCTTGTTGGGCTTGGGAAACCATATGGGGTGCTTGGGATCAAACCTGGGTCAGCGCATGCAAGGCAAGTACTCGACCTGCTGTACGATCTCTCCAGTCTCAGCAGGTTAGAAATTTACATACCCTACAATACTTCTCTCAGATTCATGAATTGTTAGTGGGATATAATGAAATACAGACACGATCTATTTCTAAATTCCTGGCTCTGCTTCTTCTCAAGATAGCTAACCCCACACAAGGCCCTTAAAGATCAGCTGGTCCAGCAGCAGAGCCTTGAAACAAAGAGATAAACATGGGATCAATGTCTCAGCCCCCTTCTTTCACAAATGCACAGGTGAGTCATGCTAGCCTGGAGAGCACAGCAGGGCCTAAAACCCAGCAAGCCAGCCCCCTCCCAGGAATCCATGTCCTCCCACCGTTCCACCTGCCCTTGCCCCCAAGGCTTCTTCCTACATGCACTATTCTAGCTAGAAATAATGGATGCTGGTTTCACTGGATACAGCTCTAAGAGCACCTGGAGCAAAATACCTTGGGCCTTGTGATCACGTCCACATTTTCAATAATTCTCCTAAATGAAGGTGGCATTTTGTTGAGAATTCTATGCTGCAGAAATTCTTGGGCTTTATGAAACATCAAACCGCCTCCCACCACAAGGATGGAGCTGTACATCTTCTTTTTGGTATCATCAGATGCTGGAAAGAGAGTGATAGTGTCCCTTCTGTACCCACCAGCACCCACACCCCGCTGCCATCATCTGCTGCTGGGATAAGCACCAGCTTTCTCACTGCTCTCGTTCCCGTCCACCTGCAATGGTGCAGCCTCGTAAGACATCAATGAGAGTAGGCTGCTGCCCCCGCCACACACCTGCCAACTCTCATGGGGCACGACCACAATCTCCCAGGGGCTCACTGAGTCAAACAATGAGTAGACTCACTACCTCTCCAGCCCCATCCTTGCAGCCTTCTTGCCAGACACGGTGTCCTCCAGGCATTCTTTGTCTCCCCCCTCACCTGTGACTGGCTAGACCCCCAGATCTAGCTAAAACTGCTCTCCCTCAAGAAATACTTCCCTGCCTTTCACTCTCCTGTAAGTAAAATTCTTTTACTAGACTCATTGGTAGCTCCCACTCAGAGTATCCTTTAGTTCATTCTATTTAAATTTCAAACCAGGGGCCACATCCAGCAATGCTCATCCTGAGGTCATGGGCCTAACAGTTCGGTGCTCAATGCTGTGGTCCTTGAAGCCTCGGATAAATGAGGCATGTGCTCTACCCCATGTGTGAGCACATCCCTGGCCTCCAAATTTCCATTTTTAAAACCAAGTGACTTATTTTAGTTTCCTGTGTGCTTAGGGGAGACTGGAACTAATTCCAAACACCCTATAACAGAAAGTAGGTGCTTGACAGCTGCTGAATAAATATGCTGACCGCACAATAATAAACAGAATTAACTCATTTAACGGCTCTGCCAGCTACCCGCAGTGTGCTTACAGCAGCAGTCTATGCTGTGAAGGATGGCTTTATCCAGGCCCAGGGCTTTGCCTTCAAACAGTGAGATGGCAGTTTTCCGGGACATGAGTGCAGTGAGGGCTTCCTCAGAGTCATTCCCAGCCATGAGGCAGTCGCCCTGGGATGCTCCCAAATCCACTTCCTGGGGATGGAGTCTCTCTGGAAGATCAGAGGACTGACCACGGAGATCCCCTTCGAATCCAATTGGTTTGGAGGCAGATTTTCGGTCAGCAGTAGCTTTTGCAGACTTAAGAAAAAAAATAAAAAAATAAAAGACAATCAAGTAGATGGTCTCGTTAGGACAGAAGAACTGGTGTTCCCAGAGAGACCCAACTCATCCCTCCCTCTCCACTGGACTCTAGGACTGACCCTCATGGCATAGTCCATATCAAACAGGAGTCAGCCACGTGCGCCTTAACCACTATGCTATCTCTCCAGTTCTTTTCCTCTACATTATCTATAGACATTATATTTTCCTTTTTCCTTTTTTTTGGTGGGGGCTGAGAGTGTATCAATTTATTCTATTTTTCAACTGGGCTTTTATGTAGAGTATTTCAGTGGGATTCTCGGACCCGTAGTTATTAGTTATTATTTTCAAATCTTTCCTAACCACCTTCAGCTGCATTTAAAACAGGTACAAAGACCAGGAAAGGTTTATAGCCCTCTCCTTTCTATCATGAGCAATGCCTCATTGGCTGATGAAAATGTTAGTCTGTGTCCCTGAACCTCACCTCCTATTAGTAGGAGAAGCTCTAGACCAGGGATAGGTAGCTTCTTTCTGCCAAGGGCCACTCGGGCATTGGGAACATCATTCACAGGCCATACGCTACAGGCAGATGGACTGCAAGCAGCAGGCAGCTGGTAAGTCTGTCGCATCCCGGAGCAGGGCCAGGCCAAATGATTTCAAGGGCCATACACAGCTCACGGGCCTGCTCCAGACAAAGGGATTCAGCTCTTGACCTCCACCACGCACCTTTCGGCTTATAATTAAAAAACTGTGGAGATGTTACTACTGGAAACTCAAAAAAAATGCAAGTAAATCATACACACCAAAAGGGGAGGGTCTTCATTTACATGACCCTTTAACTGCATGGATGGGAACTCTGAGAAATGAGTCACTGTCGTCCAGCCTTTACACTAAGACTCCACTTCCTCTGCAGCTCCCACTACGGTGTCCACATTAGCGACACTGTTTGCCCTAATCAGGCAAGCGTCTTCCGCAAGATAAGTCGTTCTTCTTGCACAACGGAAATACTCGGACCTGCTCTTGCTTGCTCTGTGTGGCCAGCAGGTAGTGCTCATCGTGTGGGTCCTCGGGGTCACCCTGGGATCTGTGCTGCAAAGTCGTCATTTTCTGTCCGACGATGCCAAATGTTGCCGGGTAAAACAGAGCCATGGGAGCCTGTGTGTGGAAGGGGGGAAAGGAGCAACCGAGGCACTGATACACTGGCAGAGAAAAATGGCTGTTCCCAACTTAACGTGCACGAGCAGTCCCTTTTGGGAATAGCATTATTTCTCCAGTGCGTGATCGATGAGAAAATTCACCGCAACCAAAAGGGGGATGTGATGACACTAGGTAAGAGAAACTGCAAAGCAAATGGCTGGTTTTCTTTCCACCCACGGAAACATATACCCATAACATTACCTGGAGTTTTTCATCTCCTAATCGAAACTGGTAAAGTAGGGCCGGGGAATCTGGATGTCGAATCTGAAACTCGTGGTCTTGAAGCCCAGAGATGTCCTGAGTCCAGGAAAAGACGCTGTCAGTGAATCAGTAATAAGTGCATGTAAACTCCTCAAGTTACAGTAACCATCACCAAAGTCTCACCTACCAAAAGACAACTTCCTATCACTCTCAGAACAATAAATTTTTTTTTTCTGGTTTTTTTTTCCCTTTATTTTATTTTATTTTTTTTAAAGTTGTAGATTTACAATTTTTTGTGCTTTGGTTCCAATTATACAATGATCAGATACCCATCCCTCCACCAGTGCCCATTTTCCACCACCATGGATAATATCCCCCCACCCCCATCCCCCCATCCCCCCCTGCCTCTGTGGCAGGGCAATCCCCTGTGTTCTCTCTCTCCTTTTGGGTGTTGCAGTCTGCAAAAGAGGCATTGAGTGGCAAACATGTTCAGTCCATAGTCTACTTTCGACATGCATCTCCCCTCCTGGGAGGATCCTCCAAACATCCTTTATTTGGTGCTCCCTTCTCTTCAGAACAATAAATTTAAGAGCTCCACTGTACCGGGCTTCTCCTTTAACAATGCAATTCCAATGACTGCATTTCCGGTTTTCTCCACACTGACAGGCATGAATTCATTCAAATCAATGAAAAAAATAAAAGAAATTTCCCCAATAACTGAGGAATATTATGTAGTTTTAACTGTTTAAAAATCATTTTTTTTCTCAGAATCATGTTAATGAGGGAAAAGAAAAAAAAGCCCCAAACAGGGATGAAACTCAGTGGCAGAGCACACACCTTGCTCACATTAAGGTCCTGGGATTGATCCTTGGCACCACACAAGAAAAGGTCTTTAAAAAACACTAGAAAGTAGCAATCCCTATGTAGAAATGCTTAAATGTCACTGTTTGCAATATTAAGTACTTAAAATGATGCCATTTAATGCCTGCACCTACACATTTCCTTGCTACTGTTCATTAGACCTAAAGGCTTAAATTCTCCCTTTATCAGAATGACACAGCTCTTGAGAGCAATTTGCTAAATTCTCATTCTTCAAAAGACAAGCTATGCCTCCTGAGTATCAATGATACATCCTCACAGCTAAGATTTTAATCAAAAAACTCTCACTCCTTAAGTTTCAGTTATGAGGAATTACCAAGTTGAGTCGAAAGAGCAGAAACACAACTGTTAAATGTCTACTTCCCTTTGAAGACCTTAATTTTTTAAATATATTTTTTAAAAATTTTTATTAGTGAAACACCATGAGGTACAGTTGTAGATTTACAAATATTTGTGCTTGGGATTCAATTATACAATGATCAAGTACCCATCCCTCCACCAGTGCCCATTTTCCACCACCACGGGTCCCAGTATCCCTCCCAGCCCCCATCCACCCCCTCCCACCCTGCCTCTGTGGCAGGGCACTCCCTTTTGTTCTCTCTCTCCTTTTGGGTGTTGTGGTTTGCAATAGAGGCACTGGGTGGCAATCATGTTTGGTCTATAGTCTACTTTCAGCATGAATACCTTAATTTCCCCCCCTCTGAACAATAACAACCAAGTCTGATTTTGCTCCCACCTGATCTAAGTGGCAAAAAGTTTCTTTAAGGTGCTGCAGTAGAAGGCAATCCATTTTGTTTGTTAGCTGGCATTCTCTGTAAGGGAACCCAGCTCGCTGCATCAGCCAGTAGAAACATCTTGACACATCAGATCCTCCATAAGCCAGGCAGAGCCTACAGTTAACAGAAAAGGGCAGAAGGTCAAGAAGGTACAAAGGCAGTTCAGGACTCAATTAGATATAGTGCAAAATAATATATTTCAAGAAATGTCTGCTGTAGGAATAAATTTTTAAGACAAGACTGAATGGATGGAGGGGAGGGAGTAACCAAAGGCTAGCAAAAGTCCAATGGGGCGCCTGAAAGCAGCTGGAAATACACTATCCAACCCAGACCATTCCTAAGCCAATGTTTGCCACAGGAAAATTATTTACCTGCCTACACCTCCAACACAGGAAGGACGCTGTAAGCCAAATTTATCGTAGGAAACCTTACTGATTACCATATATTTCGGAACACTTTGGCCACTTCCAGGGCCATTAAGCTGTTTCAGTGGCTGACCTGAGTTCAGCAACTCCTCCACATTTCAGGAACCTCTGGTATTCGACAATGAAATGATGAGTCCAAATAACTGATACTCAAGTTTTAGTTTGCACTTAGGCTGAGAGGAAATGATTAACCTTTCTCACAGAAGACCTGGGCTCTTTGAAATTTGTTTCTGCACCGAGACTAGAAATGTCTACTGCAAGGCACAGAAGAATCAGAGCGCCCCGAAAGCAGACACTGCAGGAGCAGAGAGGCTGCGGAGAATCCCCCTTGCTACCCCCCCTCCCCCCCCCCCCCCCCCACACACACACCTGTCTGTACCTACCTGTACTGGACTTATCTCGAGAAGATTAACAGCAACCCTGCTCCTCAGAGTTAGAACATTAGAACCCCAATTATAAAATAAACTCATCTTAGTGATGGCATCATGAGCAGTGAGCATCATAAAGCTACTCGTCACTCATGGGACACTGTTATGTACAGAAAATACTCAATACTCAAAATGCCCATCAGAGAAATAAGACTTGAAAAATCTATTTTCTACTGGAGAAGCTCCTCAAATAATGATGTCTCTTCCAGTGATGGCAGGGGAATAAAACCCACTCTTGGCCAGGACCAATGACTACACATTCTTCCACACCTTCATTTTTTTCCCCCTAGAGACTCCAATTTCCTCCTACATCCCAAACAGTGTGTGTAAAGTGTACTGATATACCTGAAATGTCCCAGTCTGCTGTGTGTGTGTGTGTGTGTGTGTGTGTGTGTGTGTGTGTGTGTGTGCGTGCGCGTGTATGTATATGTGGAAGCACAAATGAGCCCCCAAACGGAAACAGAGCAAGCCCAGGGTTGAGTTCAACCTTGGACCCTGAATTGCTGAGAAAGTTTGGGCCGTCCAAAACACTGAACTGGAACAAGCAGTTTAGAAAATAAATGAATACTTAAATACAAATAGCTGTTAAACATTAGAAGGGTCTTTGGAAGTTTGGTAATGTTTCTCTGACTAGAAACATGGGACAGCCTGTGGAAAATAGGTCTCCTTACAAGGTTTTCTTTAAGTGCAATTTCCAATACCCAATGAAAGACATTAAGTGAGGACCGAGTGTACATGTACCTAAAAAAGCTTTTGCTCTGAATATAGTTGTTATTTCTCTACCAGACCACAGCAAAAGACATTAAGCTACGATAGGCACTTTCTTTGTGGGAAGCACACGGACACACCTGGATCTTCAGGAGCTGTTGAAATGAAAACATTAGGGTTCCAAAGAAAGAAGTAAAGTCAGTTTTTACAGCCTTGCTAGCATTTGCACTTCCACAGTCTTGCTACTGGATTCCTATGCCAACAGGGATATGTAATTCCTTAGAAATTACTTCCTTCTAACTTGTGATGCTCTACGGCTGACCAAACTGGGAAGGCAGAGGAGAGGGGGCTGCTGCCTCCCAGGCCCCTCACCGAGTGTTCCGATGAGAAACCCCATCTTCCACACAGCAGACGCTTGTCTTCTGGTCCCCAACGTCCACAATACACGTGCTGCTTAAGCCACTTCCAAAGGTAGCACACACAGATTCCTGGTGGACCACAATCCCTGAAACACAGAAGGCAGAGGAGCTGGGAGCACTGAGTATGCAGAAACCTCTGGGCAAGCACCCCAGCATCGCAGACCCTCCCATCGCAGACCAGCATTTCAATACCACAATGAATGAAGTTTGCCATTGAAAAGAAAAATCACATTTCAAGTAAATATAACCAGAGTATCTGACATACCTGAAAAACCCATCTTCATTAAGATCATATTTACTAATTCTTTCACATGCTGTTTATTATAGATATCAGGAATTAACAAGATACATCTGTAATACTAAAAAAGAACAAAGGGGGAGAGAAAGATGCTTAACATTAAAGTCTTGTCAAAATAAATTTCACCAAATTCTCTTCAAATAGGGTTCTCTCTAAACCTGATGTGATGGACACAGGGCTGAGCACAGATCAAAAGCTCAAACCTCTCCACCATCTGGGTTTGGTTCATCTCTCCCTCTGACTTAGCCAAAATGTGTGAAATGAGAAGGACAAACAAGGTACCTGAGAAATGAAAAATGAGGAAGCTGGGGCCAGCGGTTGGCTGTAGTCAAGTGCCCGCCTGGTGCCCAGTACTGGTGAGGTGAGAGGCCAACTCCCCACCCCTCTTCCCCGAGTCACACAGGCTCGAGAGCAATGCCAGGAGCCACGACACAGGGTGCAAACTCCAGAGCACGCCATAAATGAAGTGGTGCCCTCCCCACCTCTCAGAACCCCCTTAAGTACCACAGGCATGTTATACCACAACCAAGCACAACAAAGAAAGGACGAGCAGGAAAGGGGAGGGGAGGGAATAAATTTAAAGAGAAGAGGGAGAATTTGTCTCTACTGACTGCAGAACAATAGAGACACCACAGAAACAGTAAGAAGAGAAAACTCCAGTGGGAAGTCAGTGATGCACAAATATCCTCGACACCTTAAGGATGTTTCATTACCAATAATTCAGTAGCGCGTTCTTTTTGTTCACCAAGATTTCTGAAGACAGTTCAAGTAACCGGGGCTTTTAACTCACCTTTAAATCTTTCAGTGGAATTTCCAAGTATTTTTGTATCGCATGAGACCAAATCACTTCAATATCCGCCAGAACAGCTGTAAGGGAGCCCCCAGGTCCAGGGTGAATATTTAGCTGACCCCTTCTGATAGGCCAGTGAATATTGTAACAGTCCAGTGGATTGACATACAAGGCCTAGGAAAGCCAGGGAGAGGAAAAGTAAAAATTGTCTCTCAGAAGTTTCTAGAATCTAGTTTCTAAACGCAATTTTAAAATTTGCATTTAAAAACAAATCCATAAATCATCATTGTTTGCTGAATATATAAAATCAGTTTCTCAAGCCTTACTATAAGACCAACTTCGGAAAGGCATGCAGGATGCATACTACAATCTGCACCTGCAGATTCACCTACGTCTTGGCCTTGGATGCGTGCTCTTGGCTTCTCCCCCTCAGGAGAAGCCCATGTTCTCTCTTGCCTGTGTTCACCCTCTCTCTCCCCTCACATTTCTCAAAAAAAAAAAAAAAAAACAACAAAAAAACCCCCACTTTTTATGTTATGGGAAAACAAAGCAAAACAAAACACCAAAATTCAGTTATTTCCCAAAGCAGCAGATACATCATTGCTGTGTTTTGAGGCACTGTATGATCCATGAGAAGGGCAGAAAAACATGAGGTGCAACTGGGTGGGTGGGGGGGGGGGGGCGCCGGGGTGCTTTGTCTTGTGTTAAGTATTTTTTTTCTAAAAAGGTGAAATAATTTTAGAAACTATCCTTCTGAATGTTGAGAAGAGTCTTAGACATCTCAGAGGTGACTGCAAGTGATTCTGAAAACATGACCGTGAGATGCAAGGAAACAACCTGAACCAGGAGGCAAAGTAACTGGGTCCCAGGACTAGAACCAGGGTGTTTTGTTTTTAATTAAAAAACTTTCCTTGGGAGGAAGTGGAGCTTTCAAGCAGTCCAGAGGAGACCCAGCGGCTGCCCCCAGTGACTCTCAGCAGGAGATGGAGGCTGGCTGCATGCAAGGCATGTATGTGCCTTACCCCTGGACTATCTCTGCAGACCCTGAAAAGAACTTTCTTTCTTACCTCTTCTCCTACCAGAAATTCAGGATGATGAGATGTGTTTGTCCACTTATTTCCGGAACAGTGATCTAATATTGCAGGTCGCATCTGTTTATTGTAGGACCGCGCCTGGAAAGAAAGAGCGTTGAAGCACTTTGCGACTCCACGCCAGAGAGGGAGGGCAGAGGGGAGTGCAGATCCCCTCTTCTCTTTTCTCACAGTCCAGATACAGTGGCAACTTCTAACCACAAATTCACAGCCAGCAAAATACAGGCGGGACACAAATGGCATCACTCGCCCTTTTCCACAATCTGAATTTCCCTTGGGAGTTTAACGGGCTGCCATTCCCAGTCCATATTCGTGCTGCTTAAAATTGCTGAACACAAACCTCTCTCATGTCAACTCATGTTCACGCCTAGCAGTGTTGGTCTGTCATACTGACGCCCTATCAATCCTATCAAACTGTTGGCTTTCATCAGTTTACCGTATTTACCACAAGAAACAAGCGCTTGCCTAATCGTCTGTGACATTCACACAGCTATTCTGGAGGTTGATGTGAATGGTTTTTCTTCCTTCCTAAGTTAAATCTCATCTTGGATTTGCAGAGTGAAACAGGGAGACTGAATTCATAGCATTTTGAGAGAACAGCCATGGTTAAAAAGAGGAAAATCTGAGAAAGGGCTGGGACTGAACCTGTTCGGGGGACACAGGGATCCGTCTTGTGCCATTTGACATCTTTTTGGACCATATTGCCTGATCCACCATCTTAAGGCCATTTTGCCGCTGTTCATTACTTTCAGGTTTCTAGAGAGAGAAAAAAACAAAAGATGAGTTTTTCACAAAAAGGTTTTGTGAGGGCTAACAATGTGGCCCAGTGGTAGAACATGCCTCAGATAGAGGAGAGCTTAGGTTTAAACAGCATTTCCCCGATCTTTGTCCAATGTGTTAATGTGTTTTATTTTTCTTCTTAAATTTTTTATTAAAGAACTATGATTTACAAAGTTATTCATAGTTGAGTCTTAGGCATATAATATTTCTTTCTTTTTTTTGCTTTTTGGGTCACACCCGGTGATGCTCAGGGGTTACTCCTGGCTCATGCACTCAGGAATTACTCCTGGCGGTGCTCGGGGGACCATATGGGATGCTGGGAATCAAACCTGGGTTGGCCATGTTGGCTGCGTGCAAGGCAAACGCCCTACCCGCTGTGCTATCGCTCCAGCCCTGGCATATAATATTTCAACACCAATCCCACCATCAGTGTGAACTTCCCTCCACCAGTGTTACCATATTTCCTCCTCACCCCAAACCCCAAACCATCCCTGTCAACTTGATGTTAATGTGCTTGTTTAACAAATAAGCCTGGTCCCTCACGCCCTACCGAGGTCACACATTACCCTCCACGAGTGGCTCTCTGGCACGGCCATGGCTCCAGAGGCAAAAGGACTTAATCCAGAGCCTGGCAGCTTGTGGCAGAAAAGTGAATGAACCATGTGTTAACTGCGGTGCCATGCCTCCCAGGGAGGGAAAGGGTGTTGCTCCCTTCCCTCCACCCCCCTCCCTGCAGCAAGGTGGCCGCCGCCTCAGAGCTTATAGGAAAGCCAGGTATGAACGGGCAGTGATGGGGCAACTGCAGTCTCATGGGAAGGGGGGTGGCACCAGCTCGTCCTTCATGCCCTGCCAAGGTCACACATTGCCCCCCACGAGTGACTCTCCGGCATGGATATAACACCACATGCACAGAAATCAATCTTGTAATTATCTGGCTCTTGGGCAGAAATCTCTCCAGACTTACCTAGTAAAATATCAGAAATCAAAAATCATATGGTTCTCATAACCTGCTATAGAAAACAAATTATTTCACAATGCCTTTTCAGCAGTTCTGATTGTTGGGGGGAAATTCTAAACAATAATGATGCATCTGTTGTCGAAATAATGAATGCAATCAAAGTAGAGAGAGTTAAGTAGAAATCATCTGCCTCACAGGCATTGGGAGGGGAGGGAGGGGGGTATATTGGGGTTCTTGGTGGTAAAAAATAAGTACTGGTTAAGGGAAAGGTGTCTGCTCATTGTATGATCAAGACTTAATCTTAAAAGCTTTGTAACTTTTCCCACAGTGATTTAATAAATATAACAACAACAACAAAAACAAATAAGCCTGAATGCACCATTTTAAATGAGTAATCTTTTATCTTTCATTTTCTTTTATCTTTCATTAAAGACTACCTTTATCACTACCCAGTTCATCCTAATGAGTTTTAAAAAATCATATTTTTGTGTTACTGTGTGTGTGTGTCGGGAGGCGGGGGGGATTAGGGGGCCTTACTCAGAGACCAAGGGGTGGCAGAAATCAGACCTGGCCCTCCTGCACGCAGGCACTCTGCCAGCTGAGTTCTGACTCTGGGTCTATATAGCTATGAAGTCACGCTCACAACAACAAATTACTAGCTCAGGTGAAAATTTGTTATTTGAAGCCCTACATGATGGTCATCATTTTATTATTTTAAAACTGTGGCAATGTTTATTCATTACTGCATCTTCTTGAGTCCGGGCTCTCCCAAGAAAATTGACTTGGGTTTCTCTCCAGCCATCCTCTATTTCTGACTTACATTTAGTCCCTCCCTCAGGAGCCAGTTGTCCTTGTACAGAGGCTGCCCTTGCTGCTTGTGTCTTCTCGCAATGACATGTGGGACGCTGGCAGGAAGTGTGTCTGTGGCTCGCCCGATCCTCAGAGTCGTTGAACCTGGATGTATCACAACTATGAAGTTGCTCTGGATTTGCTGCAAATGAAAATACAGGAGTGTGACCTTAGTATCTAATATGCTGGGAGTCCATTAAACTACACACAGGTAACAGACTAAACTAAGAAGTTTCCTGCAATGGCAAGGGAACTCTAGAGTACTGAAACAACTCACAAAAGGGAGTTCTAGGTATTCAATTTTTGTTCGCTGCCCAAAAACCCATTTTGCCTCTGTGTTCCCAGGATCTCCGAGTTCATAATCCAACATGTATCTGTTTAAAAGAGTCAGAATTTAATTATCCAATGCAAACTAAACGATACTCATTGGGCATCCCTGTGCCAGACACTTGGTGAAAATGTGCCCAAGACAAAGTCCAATCAGAGAACTTTCCACTTAGTAAGACAATAGTTATAAATGAGGACTACAAGTATAGAGGAATATTATTTCACAAGTCTAGATCTAAAGATGCTGGTTGAAAAAACAGGCGCTAGAGTGGCAGTACAGTGGGCAGGGCGCTTGCCTTCCAGATGGCTGACCTGGGTTGGATCCCTGGGCACCCCCTGTGGTCCTGAAAGTACTGCTAGCAGTGATCCCCGAGTGCAGAGCCAGGAATGAGCCCTGAGCACTGCTGGCCGTGGTCCCCTAAAAACAAAACAAAGAACAAACAAAGGAAAACACCAGGGGCTGAAGAGATTGCTCAATGAGCTGTACTACAAGTTTTGCCTGCGAGAGCCCCAATTTGATCCCAGCACCATCCTATTCCCTTCACTGGCAGCAGCAACCTGCCAGCACCATCAGAAGCCCTTTAGCACCAGCAGGGACGGGTCCCAAAAAAAAGAGCCTAGAAACACGCAATTGAAATAAAAACAAAAACACCCCTGGGAGTGATTAGTCTGAGCACTCATTATCTGATAACCAGTGTCAAAGGAGGAAACAAATTAATCTAAAGATAAAATACTTTGCAATACTGGGAAGTGAGACTTTAATGTATCACACCCAAGTATATGCATACACCATATTTTGGTCATTATTTTTTGTTTTTTAGGCCACACCCAGCAGTGCTCAGGGAACACTCTTGAAGGTGTTCAGGGGACCACTGGGGTACCAGAGATCCAATGGGATTGGTCACATACAAGGCAAGAGCCCTACTCATTGAACTATCTCTCTGGCCCTTGGTCATTGCTTCTAAACAGTTTCTCCTTCTCAGTTTTACAATACTTGACCTGGTAAGTTTGAAGAAGTTTGAAGAAGTCCTAGTTCGTAACTTTATAGTCCTAAATGTTTTTCTTTTCTGATGATAAATGTTCTATATCCAACACTCTCAAGAAAAGAAAGAAAATAAATGGAATCTCTTCAGGAATTTGTACAGTTTAAACTTGCTGAGGGACCCAGAGTTTCAGTCAGAAGTGAGAAAGCATGGACTGTTGGGATCACTTGGACTAGAATCTCTCCGGCGGACACACTTTGGCCAGCCTCTGTAACGAGCGCCTCCTCTTCACCCCTGCCCTCAAGCTGCTGTCTGCTGAACTCCCCTTATGTCTCCACCCAAAACATTTTTGTAACCTACCACTAAGATTAAGTCTAGAACCTCCAAGATATAGGTCCTGCTTATCTATCCAGGTTTCTACTAACTCTAGAAACCCTCCCCTTTTATTTTAAGCTTTCCATCTTGATTTCCTTTTATTTGTTTTGGGGACACATCTGACACTGGGGTGCTGCTTCCAGTTCACTGCTGGGGGGTTTGGGGAAAGGAGGTTAGTCTCAGCGTTGAAGGGACCGCGCAGATTCCAGATGTGCTCAGTCCTTTAAACTCTTGTCTCTATAGCTCCCTCTGGATTACTTAACTCACCAAGCTGATTCCCCTGGAAACAATGATTCTCCTTCCTGTTAAATCTTATTCCAAGTTAAAAAGTTCAAAGAGGTTTCCTTGTTTTCTTACAGCATTCCTTCTGTTCATGACATTTGTTACTCATAGTTGTTTTCTGAAAAGGGATCACTTTTGTCCTGTCCACTCTTTAATTATGCCCAGACACTTGGTACGCATCTCTCATGAGGCGTGTGCTGTGTTGGACCTCCAACACTGGTCCAACAGACTGGGATAAACAGATAAGGCTACTTGCCGTTGGTCACCCTGGTCTCTCATTAATAGCACAGGCTACAGCACTCCTGATGGGAAAGTTCTGGGGTCATAAATGCAGCTTTCCAAAGTGTGAGCAATTTTTTTTTTTTTTGCCTTTTAGGTCACACCCGGCAATGCTCAGGGGTTACTCCTGGCTCTGCACTCAGGAATCACTCAGGATGGTGCTTGGGGGACCATATGGGATGCTGGGAATCGAACCCGGGTTGGCTGTGTACAAGGCTAACGCATTACCCGCTGTGCTATCACTCCAGCGGAGTGTGGGCAATTTTTAAAAAATATATTAATTACATATTCATGGAGAGGCAGTTCATACTTCCCTTGACATTAGGATAAGGTTGAGTAAAAGTCCTTTAGCAAGGTGTCAGAGAGGATACAGGAAATCCAAAGGAGGTCACCTGGCTGACTGCAGTGTAGGAAATACTGCTGTCATTAAGGGTCCAGATTTGAAATTCACAGATCTGCTCACTGGTTCTCGTTTCGGACCAAGTTTCTCATAACCTCATAGATATGCAAGAACTAAACATATTAATTATATTTAACAGATAAATCAAAAGTAATCTTCCTTTTCGGGGGTGGAGAGGAGAAAAGTTTGGGCTACTTTAGGTGATGCGAAGGGCTATTCTTGGCTCCTTGCTCAAGTGCGACCCCTGGCGGTACCAGGGACTGAACCACGGTCACAGCAATCAGAGACCTGCAAAGCCAAGTCCTGGCTGTGTTCTGGGATCAGGGGGACCATATGGGATGCTCGATTGGACGCATGCCAGGAATGTACCTACCTGCCGTGCTATCTCCCCCCACCCCAGCCCCCGAATGCCTTATCTCATGCACTATCTCTTCTACCCCAATTTTTTTTTTTTTTGCGCACACTGGTTCTTGAAACCCTTAAGGGACCCCGGCAGGCTGGGGCCACAGAGCTCAGGGGACCAGGAATACATCACGGGTATATCACCCTGGCAGCTCTCTGGAACCATACACAGTGTTGTGGATTTGGACGCGAGTAGGTCGGGTGCAAGGCAATCGCCTTAACGCCTGTACTTTCCCTGTCCCTTCATCCGTAATACCGTAAACCTGGGAAAGTTCTCACCGCCAATCCAGGTCCTGGTCTCTGCCGGCCTATTCTATTCTCCCTTTGGTCCCCCAATTCGTTCATTCCAGCCGTGACCTCCCCTGACGACACCCCTCCAGCCCTCTCTGCTGTGTGCCCCCTCCGAGGCGAGCCGCTCCCCCTTCTGCCGGTGCCCGTCACCCCCTCCGCCGCGTGGGTGGGCTTTCGAACCCTAGCGTGTGGGCGCAGGCGGTCTTTGCAGAGCCTGCAAGCTGCGCGTGGTGCCAGCTGGCCGGGTTGCGGGGGCTTCCCGAGCTGCGCATTCTACAGCTGCCAAGGGTTGTGCCCGCCTCCCGGGGAACCGAGGGCGGCGGCCTTAGATCAGAAATCCTGAACACCTAATGCCTCGGTACTGCTGCTCCGAGGGTGGGCAAGAACACAATCCGGACGGCTACCGCACATCTCTTCGTTTTTTCCCCCCCTTTCGGGCCAGCTTTACTTTTCTCTTGTTCTGGTTTGGACCCCCAAGTGCTTCAAGTCTGCTTAACCAGCGTCTACCCCTCTTCCTGGCGTCGAAACTTAAGCGGAGATCCCCGGAACAAAGCAGGAAAGGCCTCGCTCCCCGCGACCCCCGGCAAACCCACCGCGCCCCGGGACCCCTCCCGAATCCCGGCCTCGGGCGCGCGGCGGGGGACGCGCTCTGCGCCGCGCCCCGGAAGGGAACGATCTGCCAGGGGGGAGGGAGAAGGGAGGAGGGTGAGCCGGGGGCGCCCCCCGTCCCCGCGGAGCTCCGCGAAGCCCAGCCCGGCCCGGCCCGGTCTGGTCCGGCCCGGCGGCCGCGGTCCGCAGCGAGGCTCTCTCCGAGTCCCGAGCCCGGCTCACCTCCTGCAGCGACTCTGGCACCAGCGCGGGCACGATGGGCCGCTTCACGCCGCGCTGCTCCTTCTCCTTCTCCCCGCCCTTCTCCTTCCCGTTCTCCGCATCCCCTTTTTCCGCCTGGGTCATGGCGGCCGCCGCAGGCCACCGACCCTCGCCTCTAATTAGGGTCACGCCGCCGCTACAGGAGCCGAGCAGACCCCCGGGAGGTGCCGTCGCCCTGCGGCTTGCCCACAGTCAAGATGGCTGCCGGGGAGTCGGCCCGGCGCATTCTGGGAAAGCGGAAGTGCCGGCTGGCGGGGGGCCTGCGACTGGGACTGGGACGGCGCCGGAGTTGGAGTGCGGATTGGAGGACCGTAGCTGTGATTCGTCGGATGCGGTTGTGATTGGTCACAGTTTCGAGAGGCCAACGACATAGCTGGAGCTGGTCTGGAGCGCTTCTGATGGAGCCCGCTTCATCCTCACACCTGCTGCAGACTCTGCATTTCCAGGCTCCAAAAACACTCTTCACCCCCCTACCCCCACTCCGCTCACACTACAGTGGTCATGCTCAGCCAAGTCTGTGTGTGGCGTCCGCTGGACCTAGATCTCTTCTCTACACATCCCTGAATGGCTTTTACCAGTGTGACACGCAACGAACATAGTCCCTTCTTGGACTTGACCTAATATGTGGTACGTCCTCTTGAGTAGCTTGCCAACCTTAATTATGGCCAAATTTAATGGACTTCAATCCCCAGCCCCAAAACACTTACATCCACTTTGTACTATTGCAGCCATTATCATTGACTCTTTAGTTATCTGTATCTTCTACAGCCAATCAATCCATCAGTACCTATATCATATTTTGAATGAATGCACTTTTCTGGTCCTACCATCACCTAGCTGAAGTTACCATTCGTATTATCTCACCAGGATGGCTACCACAAACTTTTTAAAAAGACATCTCAATTTTTTTTAAAATGAAGATCATGGTTCACAATAGAATTATAGCTTTATGCTAACAATGGTATTGTGCCACATTACCACCACTTCTTGGTTGTTGGCAAGATTTGCTTTCATTGACCATTGTCTATTTCCCTTACTCTGTATTGGGAGTTTGGTAGAATTATTAGACTTTGCTCCCTATACTAAGCAGTTAGGCTCTCAGCTTGAAGGGGCTATGAGCTTGATAGAATTCTGGAAGGCCTGGATGGGAATGAGTCCTTGAGGATACATTATGCTCCAATGTGTTTTGCTGGACATAGATAAAGAGAAGGCCCTTGGGTTATAGATCAAAGCTGAATCTTGGAGACTGGAATTGGGGAATGATACCCAGCGATTACAGAAAAACCTGGAGTGTAAGACAGACATGCTTGTATACATGCCTAACTTGGTTTACAGAAAACCTCTGGCACATAGCTGGCTTTGTCTCATTCAAGAGTTCCCAAAGCTGGAGGAACCCCTGAATGAGTAAGCTAATGGGACACATAGCTAAAGAGTACTGTTGCGCTGACACCGTCTCCAGCAGCAGAGATAAACCCACAGTGCAGAGACACGTAGAAAAGCTGAGAGAGAACAGGGAGGACAGAGGAAATGCTGCCTTTGCAGTTAGTTCAGGCTACTACTGTCCAGTACTAAAGGCTGCCCCCCACCCCTGAGAGATCAGGGAAAACATAAGACTACTACAGAACAAGAGAGGGCTGGAGCGATAGCACAGAGGGTAGGGCATTTGTCTTGCACATGGCCAGCCCAGGTTTGATTCTTCTGTCCCTCTCGGAGAGTCTGGCAAGCTACAGAGAGTATCCCGCCTGCACGGCAGAGCCTGGCAAGCCCCCCCTGTAGCATATTCGAAATGCCAAAAACAGTAACAAGTCTCACAATGGAGACGTTATTGGTACCAGCTCGAGGAAACCGATGAACAAGGGGACGACAGTGCTACACTGCAGTGTTACAGAGCAAGAGAGATGCTATATAAGACAATGACAAAGAATGTTAAATTCCTTTCATATGGCCGGTTTTGGGCTGCTTCAACATCCACACCTAGACACCCTGGATGGATGAGGTGATCTGCAAGTGAAGACAGGAAGAACCCACAGATTCATGGCACAACTTCCCCTGCCCTCAAGCCAGCATCCTACAATTGGCATAGAATCAGCAGGATTTGGTGGGATGAGTCCCAGGTGCCTTACATTGTTTCTTTATACTACTGATAAAGATGATCATCTGGTATTTGTCTTTTTCCTTCTTATTCACTTTACTTAGCATGATGCCTTGCAGCTCTATCCTAGTTAAAGCCAGATTTTCTTTTCTCAAAGCTGAATGGTTTTACACAGTGTATATACACCACAACTGCTTTATCAACTCATCTACTGAAATACTATCATTAAGAGTACTGTAAATCATAGTGCCTAACAAAAGTTTGGGAATACAATATCCATAGATCTTTTCTTTCAGAATAGCTTTAGCTATTTTTAGTTTCATTTCCATACAATTATCAAAATGATTGTTCCTTTTTGTTTTGGGGCCACACCCGGTGATGCTCAGGGGTTATTCCTGGAAGTGCATGGGGGACCATATGGGATGCCAGTGATCAAAACCAGATCAGCCACATGCAAGGTAAGAGTCCTACCCACTGTACTATCTCTTAGGCCCTGGGATTTGTTCTGTCTTTGAAGAGCACCATAAAAACTTTGATTTTGTTAAATCTGTTTAGTGCTGAGTAGGATGGTTGCTAACAACAGCAATTCCTCTAGTCCATAAATAAGGAATATTTTCAATGCCTGTGTCTTGTTTTAATTCATACCAGACTCCTAAGCCAACTCCCTTTCAGTCTTGTGCTACTGTGATCTGTTCTTCCTACTGTTGCTCAAGTGTCACAAAGGGTTAAGATATTACTAGGTCTATATGAAAATCCTATGTGCTGAGCCTCCACTAAATACTCATCAGGAATCACACAAATTAAATGGAAACATTCCTTGTTCATGGGTTGGCAGAATTAATATAGTTAGTAATTACCCTAACCAAACTTAAACATTCATGGTTTCCCTTTGCTCACGGAACAGAATCTAACCAGTCTATCTAAGGTTATGCCAGATCTATTTTCTGCTGCATTTCCAATCCACCACATCCTCCCCCTCCTTTTGCAGATATGCCACTTATTATCAAGGGCACCCACACACGCTGTGCCCTTTTTTTTACCTTATGTTACTTCCTCAGCTCATACTCATTGTGCCAATTCAAATGTCACCCCAGAGATTTCCCTACTAACCTCTTGTCAATCTTATTTCCCTTAAAGCAGGAACTCCTTTTCTGCTGCTTCCTACATTAGAAAGCCACAGGAAAAGGGGCACTTTTTCATATTCATCAATATATGGAGGTGCCCAATAAGCATACTAAATACTGCTGAGGAACTCCATGAAGTAATTTTGTTGTTGCTTTGTTTATTTTGCCACACCCAGTAGTGCCGAGGGACCATGAAATGCCCGGGATGAATGCAGGCCTCTGGTATGCAAGTCATGAGCACTATGGCTTTCAGCAATCTCCCCAGCTATGGGATAGGAACTTACAGAGGTCTAAACTGGGATATGACAATGTAACTTACTAAGTCTCATAAGTGATTGGTGGCAAAGAAGTCTGAACACAAGCTACTCAAAAGGCTCTATTCTACACTTTAATAATGTACACTCATGCAGAGTGGAGTTTAATGTTGACTGTAGTCAGGATCCTAGGATGAAAAGTTCCATAACAGCATGCATGAGGGGTGGCAGATCATGGGTCACAGGCAAAAAGCCACCAACTACTCTGAGTCTCAGTCTTGACATCCTCCTCACTACAGCCTTAGGTGGAGGTTGGACAGATGTCAGAATTTAAGAGAAAATATCTGACACAGGCCTGAATGATCGATAAACTATATTATCCTTGTTTTAACTTCTTATAACTTTTTCTCTTATCTTTGAAGGTCAGTAATACAATACTACTTCATGGAAAACAGCATTAAATATTTAGAAAATTGCTCTCTGTATTATTTTTTTCCAATAAATGTATCAGTGCCCATTAGATGCACTCACTGTTCAAAGCACCTAAGATCTCTGTTTTTCCATTTTAGTAAGAAGGTTTTGACTTACTAGCTATCAGAGACTAAAGATAACAGGCTTTAGCCAATGAATTCCTATCTGCCAAGATAGCACTGAGATCCATGATTTAATTTTTCTTTGGTTTTGGGGCTACACCTGGCAGTGCTCAGGGCTTACTCCTGGCTCTGCACTCAGGGGTCACTCTTGGTGGAGATGCCAAAGATCGTACTTGGGTCAGCTGTGTTCTTGAAGTACCCTACCCACTGTACTATCTCTCCAGCCCTCCAAATACAAGATTTTTTTTTTTTGGTGGGGGCACACCTAGTGATGCTCCTGGTTCTGAACTCAAGAAATACTGCTGGTAGTGGTCAGAACATATGAGATGTAGAGACTGAACTCAAGCTAGCTGGGTGCAAAGCAAATCCCTTACTCCCTTATTTGCTGACCACCCAAAGCCATGATTTTAAAGATGACCAAGGCAAGAAAATACTCATTTTGTAGTTCAGATTTGTTGGTTATGGTTTTATAAATTATCTTGATAATTTTATGACAAGTCAAATTCATTAAAGATTCATGGGATAAATGTTTCAAGATAAAAATTATTTCAAGACTACAAATATTATGCATATTACTAGATGTACGTGATTTATTTATAATGAGAAGAAATTAACAATGAATAGAATAATTTCAGAAGCTGAAAAAGGTGACACTATAGTATACTGAATACATGGCCTTTTATTTTTTTCTTCCAATTTGATATATAAAGATGAGAAGTCAGTTTTAGAACCTAAAAATATTTACTTAGTAAAACTAGATTAATACTTTCATAAACTATACAAAAAATGAGACCAACATGTGCATTTATCCAACTGCATATCAGTCATGCCAGATCCCCGTAGAGGGAATTCCCAGCATGACCTCATTCATCTGTGTGGACACAGAGCAGTCCTTGTTGAGACGTACACATTCATCCATTTGTCTGGCATGGTCAATCTTTCACTTCCAGATGGTTTCCTTCTACTATGAATGTGCTTGTCAAATTGTCTGCTTCTTAGAGCAGACATTTACCTTAAAAAAAAAAAAAGGTTAAAATTTGAATCTGTATGGCACTACACGTCCAAGCAGCAACTCTGAGGGCCATGTAGGCCTAAATCTGCCAGGGGTGGGTCCTATCGTTAAAAACGAGAAATAAGGGCTGGAATGATAGTACAGCAGGTAGGGCATTTGCCTTGCACATGGCCCACCAGGGTTTAATCTCCAGGATCCCATATGGTCCCCTGAGGACCACTAAGAGTAAATCCTTAGTGCAGCGCAAGGAGTAACCCCTGAACATTTCCAGGTGAGACCCAAAACCCCACCCCCCAAAAAAGAAAATTTCAAAAATATAGCCAACAATGTTTTTCAAAGATTAAAATATACTTTTTCCAAATAACCATCTCCAAGAAATTACAAATGGCAGACAAGTTCTACTATCCTTAAGGAAGCCACATTTTTCTTTGTTTGGGGGCCACGCTTGGCTGTGCTCAAGACTTACTCTTGACTGTGCTCAGGGATCACTCCTGGCAGGCTCGAGGGACCATACTGAGTAGAGGTTACCGAACTCAGGCTTGCTGAATGCAAAGCAAGGGCCCTATCCACTGTATTATCTCTCAGGCTCCTAAGGAAGTATTTTCAGATTAAAATCCCAACAAATTAACTTCAGATTTTAAGTTACCTTCCTCATCCACCAGCCATTGGAGGAGGACTAGGGCCTCGCAGATGATTGATTCGACCCATTCTTCTAGGAGGGTTTCCTGGTGGTCTAACAAAAGAAAAGTTAATTTCAACTGTTTAGTACATAATACTTCAATTGGTTCCTAAACTTAAATAAACCTTTACTTAAAATAGGATCTATAATTTAGGTCAAAGTAAAAAGATTAAATCCTTATGTACTGTAGGATAACACTGGGTTTGTTCTTTCAGCCTTGCTGTAAGTTTATCGGGTTACACCCATCACAGTGCCCCAGTAAACAAACATTCCTTTGTTTATCTGTAAACTCTTCTCTATGCCCTCCTCCCCAATATGTTAATCACCTTTTCTCTAATCAGATACAGTAAGGAAACCTTGTTAGGACTTTTACTTCCTCTAGCTTGTAAGTTCAGATCTTTCTAGGGACACTGAACTTGTAAGTTATGTCTTTTACATAGTTTACCTTAAAGCAATGTATGAACACAGGAAGACAGTTAATATTATGTTTTTGTAACTTGGGAGTTAATTGACTCGAATAATATTTACTCCTGGGCATCTCCTTTCTGAACTCAGTTGCCCTAGCACCCCAAAAGCAAGGTCCCGACTAAGGACTGAATGCACCCAGAGCAAGCTGTGAGCTACCCTGGCATCAAAATGGGCCAGGCCAAAGCACCACAATACTCAACTATAAGTTGAGAGCATGGTCATGGACAAATGCTGTCATGATCCAAAAGTAATGACGAGATTAGGACCCTGCTGGGGTTAGGAAGACTAACCTAGCCTAAGGACTGTGGTCTGGAATATATAGTTAGATGTCCTCAGGTAGAATCAAACCTTAAGTTTGATATAACTTTTACTGTGCTCATTCAGAATGACATTGCTAGAAATGTCTTTAGAAGTATCCACCCTTTAGCGGATCTCCTAGTAATCTGGAGTAATCTCTTTAGATGAGATTTTGTTGTGAGTTAATCTCCTGCAGGAGTGGCCTTACCTCTCTCTCTCTGTTGATTTGTTAATGTTCAACCCCACCTTTGTATCACCGCCCTATGTGATTGCTATATAAACTAAGACTGTAAGAGTGATGGGGCTATGAGGCAAAAAAAGAGTTAGGGAGTCATCAGAGCAAGAAGCAGTCAGAGTCAGAATAAAGAGGTCAGAGTCAGAGTCAGGGGATCTGGGATCTAGGAATGAGGGGCTAGGAAGGAGTGTGTGAGATGGGAAAGACGAGAGTTTGAATAAACGGCAACTAATCAGCAACCAGCTTGGTCCTCGTTTTTTCTTAGCCTGCCCATGGTCAACAGTCGTCAGATCCAGTCCATACACAGCAGCTCAAGAGCACCAAACATGGGCAGCAAAAGAGAGAGCCGCCTGGAGAGCCCACAAACACACATCACATCCCTTCGTGTATATTTCTTCCTGATATTCCTAACCCCAGCAGGGTTACAAAAACATAAGATTAACTGTCTTCCTGTGTCCATACATTCGGAGTCAATCAACTCCCAAGTAACTGTCTTCCTGTGTTCATAGAGAAAGGACATTGCTTTAAGGTAAACTATGCAAACAAGTTCAGTGTTCTTAAAAGGATCTGATTTTACAAGCTAACAGAATCTGATTAGGGAAAAGGTGATTAACATATTGGGGAGGAGGGCAGAGAGAAGAGTTTACAGATAAACAAAGGAATGGGAGTGACTTGGGGCACTGTGATGGGTGTAATCCGATAAAACCTAAGTTCCCTGCGGCAAGGCTGGAAGAACAAACCCAAAGTTATCCTACAATGTACCTGATGCATAATACACAAGAGGAAAATGAGTTAGATAAGGCCTGTGATGCTCTAAAACCATCTCCTACAATATCAGCTAAAACACAGCTGCAGTTGACATTCCCTTGTGGAAACAAGCCTATACAGTGCTGCTTGATCTACTGAGTTTTTCATTAGCTGGAAACTCAGGTTCTAAAGTGATTAACTTATTTTGGAGAGCCACACCAAAGGATGCTCAGTAATTACTCCTGGCTTTAAGCACCCTGTTGGTGCTCGGAAATCATGTGGGATGCCAGGAATCAAACCCAGGTCAGCTGCATGCAGAGCAAGTGATCTACCTGCTGTACTGTCACTCTAGCCCCCTTAAGTGATTATCTCTTGATTTTAATGTTAGCTATCAGTTTCATCCTCCCAGACTTCTCCCTTTGATAGTTACTTACACTTTGTCAGAGTAATTGATTACAAAATTGAAAGTGACTTGACTAATGCATTTTGTGAAACAGATCAGTTAAGTCCCATGAGGTTATATATATACAATCTAATTAAAATCTACATGGCTGAAAACTTAAAAAAAACTATACCCTCTTCCATCATCATATCTGGAATCAGATGTGTTTCCAAAGCCTCTTCCCTTTTTCACATCTTGCTGAAGCAGAGTCTTGAAACTGAAAACACAGGGTAGAAAACAAAAAGTAGCACTTTCAACATTATGAACTTTATTTCCATGGTCTGAACTATCATCTGTGAGATGAAGACATACCAACATACTGCAAACCCACATTTCTGGAGACCATCTGTGTAGAGGACAGGCCTGTGTGTAAACAGAACACTCTGTTCTATGCCGAGTCTGTTTGCTATTAACTCTCCTTGATAGTCATCCCAGCTTTCTTGTTCACTCTCTAGTTGCTGTCAGGTCTTAGAGTTTGTTTCTAACAGTACTGCACATGTACTGCCCCTGTACTTCCCTGCCTATCAAACGTTACCTCAGAGAGGGAGAGCAGAAGGTGGTGTGCCACAGCACAGAGCTCCTGGAAAAGTACTTAAATAGAATTTTACTTTTTTATGATAGGGAAAGCATTTAACTAAAGCAGAAACAATATTTTAAATATTTATAATAGCATGGAGTAGTTGAAGTTTATGAGATTATTCTGTTTTGACACACATGGTAGTGCTCTGGGGTTATTCCCAGCTTGGTGCTGGGGGTATCTCATATCCTGGTGGTTCTTGGGGGCCCACAACTAGCATCAGGGACTGAACTAACACCTCCTGCATGTTAAGTATATACTCTGCCCCACTGAATTATTGCTGTGGTCCCTATACGATTTGGGGGGGGGAGGGGGAGGCAGAGACAGGGCAGTCCTCAGGGATTACTTCTGGCTCTATGCTTAGGCATCACTCCTGGTAGTTCTCAAGAGACCACATGGGGAGCCAGGGTTTAAATCCAGATTTGCCACAGCCCTCTATGGTCTATGGAGCCCTGCCTGGAGTGATCCATGAGCAAAGAACCAGGAGTAAATCCTGAGTACTGAGTACCACCTAGTGTGGCCCAACCACCACCATGCTGCTTTCAGCCAAATATAAATTGCTTGAAATTATGGTAGGTCTACATTTTTATCTTTTGTATCAGTTCTAACTCTTCATTTAAATAAAATTACTACGTGGAAGTTTATGTATAAAGACCTAAGTTTTCGATTTACTTGTGTAATGGAGTAAAAGCTGCACAATAATGCCACGGATTGCAGAAAGAAAATGAAGTGCTGCCATTTGACACTAGAATGGGCAGGCTGACTCTACAGATGTGGGTTGAAATGTACCAAGGCTAAGATATGGTCAAGACCACCAACTCAATCAAACCACACATTCATAATTATGTTTGGTGTCAGATTTATCACTGTACAAATCTTTATATCTCTTAATACAGGTATTACAAATTATAATTTAAAATGTTTAAGAAAGTTGAGCTTGTTTTAAGATATCCAATAACATGTACTTGTACTTATAGTGCTTCTTTAAAAGATTTTCAAAATTTTTAAATTTTGTGTCTACCAAACAGTACTCAGAAATCAGTGGTTACACCCAGGAACACTTGGGGCAGCTATGTGGGGTTACTGGTTCAGTGCTCAGGTGCTACAAGTCCTCGGGCCACTGCTTAGTGGTGTCAGATCTTGAACTCACTCAGGGTCTAGCATATACAAGACATGCTCCCCCCTTTCAGTTAGCTCCCACAATCTACTTGTCAATTTAAATATTAGGGACATTAAGAGTTCTTCTATACTTACAACAAAACCACGAACTCTGCTATTCCCCAGAAGAAATCTGTTATCAAAGATAATCTCCATGGGGACTGACTCCGGCTGTCCAACACTTGTCCTACCAAGAATAATAAACTTCAGTTAGTGCTACATATTCCTGAAACAAGATGAATTATACCTGGTCAGTTAGGTAACAGTCAAACTCAGCTTGCAACTTGTCCATAGTTCCAAAATACAGAGGGCTGTTATGTGCAGATTATTCCAAGAAAGAGCTCAGAAAGCAAAGCTCTATGATCTAGAGACACTCATTTATATATCAACTGCATCAAATTCATTTATGCATCTCTCTCTCTCACTCATTTATGCATCAACTGCCTTGGCGCTCTCTCTCTCTTTCTCTCTCTCTCTCCCCTGCCACACGCCCTACCCTCCTCTTTTTTTGGGGTTTGGGGGTTGGAACAGTGGAGAGACTAGGTCACACCTGTCAGTTTCATATCTGGTTGTGGTTCTAGGGACTAAATGAGGGTTGGCCATATGACCACATGCAGGGCAAGATTAGGCAAGATCTTACGACCTTTCCCTCTTTTTCAAAACTGTATTTAACATGTTGCTGGACCCCGTGCCAGGCTGTTTCATTCGGGGCCCCCTGGAGGGGAGCGGGTGAGATCTCTCCCCACCACAAGGGACCCAGCCCTGGCAGCCGACAACCTCCAGAACTCAACAACCACCATGCTCACGGCTGCTCTCCACATATTTGGGCCGAGTCTTACACGAGTGAACCTATTCCTGGACTGCATGGCCGCGACTCATACCTCACTCCAAGAGTATCACACCACATTTGATACTCTAAGAGTATCACACCATATTAAAGTAGTAGGCAACCAATCTTAGAGGGCATTTTTTACACACACACACACACACACACACACACACACACACACACACGCAAGGCTCAACCATTAACACCATGTTAGTGATCTCTTATAGAAGGGATTAATGGCCCCTGGGTAAAATACAACAATTTTCACACTCTTTCCTCTAAGGAAACTTTTTTGTAGCATCTTCAGCTGTCTTTCATAACAAACAATTCAAAATATATCAGTTTGGTTCTGCTTTGGGGCAGGGGTTGGGGTTTGGGATGAAAACATCCAAAATATGGTGGTGGGAAGGTGTAATGGTGGTGGGATTGATGTTTGAATATTAAATGTAATCAAATATTACATTTGGAGTGATCCATGAGCAAAGAACCAGGAGTAAATCCTGAGTATTATTTTATAAAATAATAAAAACATTTAAAAAAACAACTGTGGTTAACTACAAAATTTTTACCATTCCAAGCATCAGTTCTATGGCATTAAGTCACACTATTATACAACAAATCCCTATACCCATCTCTAGAACTTTTCCATCTTCCCTAGGAAGATTCTGTCCATTAAACTCTAACTCTCTATTTCCCTATTTCTCTCTTCTTTTAGCCTCTGGCAACACAGTATCTCTCAATGCCTTTGACTGCCCAAGGAGCTCATATGGGAAATAACATACCACCTGTACTTTGGTCACTGGTCTTTCATTTGTCATGTCTCAAAGTTTATCTGTGGTGCAGCATAAATCAAAATTTCCTTTTTTAAGGTCAATATTTTGCTGTATACAAAAGCTTGCTTATTTATTCATCTGTTGATGGGAGTTGGGTTTGGGTTGCTTCTAAATTTAGGCCACTGTGAAAATGCTTTTATGAATGTAGATGTACAAATAAGTATTTTGAGGAAATTAATTGGATGGGTAAAGTTTAAAAAAAAATGCTCACAACACTTCCACTCACCTAAATGTATTCTGAGTACATTCTAAATATTTTGAATCAGTTACAGTGGTAGCATTTCCATAAACTGAAGAAATTTTGTATTCTAAATAGTAAAAAGAATGCTGCTCTGACCACTATTTTCTGTAACAGGATGTCACTGGCTCTATCTGTCCTCATCTTTATGTTAAGCAAAATTGGACCATTGGACCAGTTTTTCAAGCCACCTGATAAAAAACGCTATTATAGAAAAGCACTCTACATTTTCAGTCTTTCAAATCAAGCAGTCAGGATATAAAATGGTGGAAAGGTGTCATCTGCCAACTACCTAGTTTTCCATTTCCCAAAGATCTTCACCAGGCTCTCTTCTCTCTCTTCCCTTCTCCTCAGTCAAGGCTTACTTTTCCTCTTTATTTGAACAGCTTCTTTTCAGGTACCCCTTTGGACCTGAGCAACACATCTGGACACAAATGGTGCCCATCTGGACCTGAAGATATAGCTGCTGAGGAAAAAAGGGCCACACATCGAAACAGAGACCATGACTTTTCTAGGGCTAATCATACAGGAGATTGGAGAATTAAGAGTATATGAATGTTATCAGTTATGAAAAGCTGATAAATACAGTTTTAAGACAAATGGATCTAACTGGAATCCATCACTTCTTCCTCTGTGATTCTGAAGAGCCGCATCGCATGCATGCACATCATTTTATCTGGTTTTTGGTTGACTCTTTTCTTCCCAGTTTCTGAAGGCAGAAAGCTCCCTTCCCAATATCCTTAGAGGTCGGAAGGAATATTGTTGAATGCAACTGGAATTTATAACTATGAAAACAAGATCATGATCAAGATCATCCTGTTGTTCATCGACTGCCTCGAGCAGGCCCCAGTAACGTCTCCTTCGTCCTAGACCTGAGATTTTAAGAAGTGTCATATTCAAGGGTCTTTCAGGGTTAGAAGAATGAGACCCATCATTGTTACTGGTATTTGGCACATTGGGTACGCCATGGGGAGTTTGCCAGACTCTGCCATGTGGGCAGATTACATTCAGTAGCCTGCCAGGTTATCCAAAGTAAGAATGAGATAATAAGCTTCCTTCTGGGAGCTGGATTTTATAGTCTCTGGGTCTTGGCTGTTGATGGGATTACACACCGGGGGTCAGTTGGTGGGTGTGACCCCTGGCTACTGGATGGAGGATCTGGGTGGAGGATGCTCAGCCCCAGATAAAGGACATAGATGGATCAAATGTCAATGCATTGACAACAGGACACACTAAAAAAAAAAAAAAGAATCAACTCAACACTGCTATGTAGAAGCTGTCAAACTTGACCATGAAAGAGATTACAGAAGTCTGGCAAACGCCTCAAAGTAAGAAGAATCCTTTGATGCTTTTATTCAGTATTCACCAGCTTACTTGTCTCCATTTTTTTTTCTTCATGTGATAACAGAAGGAGAGAACGGGATGTTCAAGAGTAAAGAAATGTAACAACGTGTACTAGGTCAAAAGTTGTCCACCATAATCACGTGATGAATCAAAACGGTTCACGCCCGAGTGGCAGTCACTGAAAGTCATTAACTAAGCGCTCCCAGCGAGTTCAGTTGCTTGAACTCTTAACTGCATCACGGCCACCTGTCCTTGCGCTTCCACCTGGACGCAGGAGCCAGGCAGTGAGTTCAGCACTGCCCCGCCGATCAGACAGGGTCACTTCCTTCCAGGCTTTGTGCCATCACGGTCCGGTCTCTCGGATTCTCTGCTCGGAAGAATCCAAGTGGGGCTTTCTGCGTGTACTCCTTGAAATCGTGCCAAACAACAACAACAACAACAACAAAACCCCCACTTGATGTGAAGCCTGACGACCCTCTCCCGGGGTTGAGGGAGGGGGGGAGGGGATGGAAATCTAGTCAGAACTTTCATGTGATTCTCTTCCCACGTTCTGGAAACACGGCGACACCGCTAAGAGCCGGGACCGCCAGCCGGGCTCGATCCGAAGTCCCGAGCCCGCTGCCTCCCTCGGGGAGGGATCCGAGGCGAGCGGTGCCATCGAACGCGTCAGAGCCTCCCTGCGTGAGGTGCTCCGTGACGGTCCACAGACCGGACGCGGCGACGGACGCGCGGGCCAGCCACGCCGGGCGAGTGACCGAGGCAGGTACGCCACGCAGTTGCTAACACTGTCGCTGGAGACCCCCCGCCGCCCCTCCAATCCGACCCCTACCCCTCCGCAGCCCGCGGGAGGCCGAGGGCTCCGGGCAGCCGGGCCCCGTGGACACCTCCGGGAGCTCTGCTGGCCCCAGCCTGCTGACTTCAGAAACGGTCAGCTGACGCGACTGGGCTGGCCCTGGCGCCCGGCACCAAGTCCAGAAGGGCCGTGACGAGCGTCGAACCCGGAGGCTGACGAAGAAGACCCCCCCCCAAAAAAAAATAGTCCCGCAGCTCCTCAGTGGGGCCGGGCAGCCCCGCCGACTCACCGTTCGAGATGTAAACCATCCTGTCTCGGCTCGCCCCCCGGAGCGACTCGGCCCTCCCGGCTTCCGTATCTCCCTCCGCTCCCAGGCTCCCTCGTCACAAGTCACCACTCGACGAATCGGAAGCGGCGGGAGGAGGTGGGCGGAACCCATTGGCTGCTGGCAGGGACACGCCCCCTTGAGCTTTTTTTTTTTTTTTTTGGCTTCGTCAGAGCGTCGACTTCCGAGTAGGCGGTGGCTGCGGGGCGGGTGACCGGATGTGACGTCTGGGATTGCGTCAGAGAAGCGCGCGCTGGCCGGCGCTCGTCAGATTTCCGCGTGGGCTCTGGGCTGGCGACGCGGGCTGAGGAGAGGCGGCTTTCCGGTTAGGGTCGGAGGTGACGGAACTGTTAAGTGTTCGTCGGCATGAGGAACGACGGGGTGCAGGAGACGTATTCGGCTTTTCCAGAACGTTTGAGATTTGGGGTTGTGTCGGACGTTCTTTCCGGGCTGAGGCGATGCCGCCGTGAGCTTCGTGGTTCTGTTTGGGGGAGTCCGGAGACCGGCGTTCTCTGGATGGCGTTCGTTTGTGAACGTGGCCTCGGTTTTTCTGTCCAGGGCTCACAGAAGGGAGTGGAGTTTTTTAGAAATAATTGTATTTTCCGTTTTGTAAGGTTGGTTAAGGTTAACTGCAGTCTCCAACCATTGCCCTTTTCCCTCGGTGCCTAACTAGGACATGACACTGCCCGTTTCACTGGAGGAGTGTGCGGCGCCGTCATAGACTATCTTTTCTGCAAAAATTATTGGAGGGAGGACGTTAATTTTTCCTAAAGACACTTAACCCAGACTATGGCGTTAGCATCCCTTCTCCATTCCCATTTTCCTCCTCACTGAAATCTCAGTTTCTGAGTCGCCCTTCGCATGGCAGAGAATGATCCTGAGGTGGAAATCCTCATCGCCTTGTCCACAGACCTTAGACACAAATCGAGTGAGCGCCTTGTGCTCTTAAATTCCTATCCTTATGACCTGTCGTTTTTAAGTTCTTCCCCTACTCTTCTTCCAGTCCCCACCGAAACTATTCTCTGGCAACACTACTTTATTCTTTTTTTTTAGGGGGTGTGGCGCGGACTATACCCGGTAGTGCGCAGGGGTTACTCTGTATTTGGTGAACTCTATGTGGTGTCAGGGATCTAACCAGGACGGTGGGATGGAACGTATTTCCTTAACTCCTGTGCTCTTTCCCCACCCCTGATGTCTTGAACACCCCAAATTCTTATAGGAAACTGCACCTGTGTTTCCCTCCACGTGGAGCTTGACTAAAACTCTGACTGCTTGCACACTTACCTTGACCTTTTGTTTCACTCCTTACATCAGATACCTCATGGCCCCTGAATTGTCCGCCTGCTTCCTCCACATACCACTCCCCTCCCGCAATACTTACTAATACTTAACGATTCGATTTTTATTTTTTTCCTGACCAGTGAGTTTTGCAGCTATTTGTCAAAGTATGAGTTGTCCACAAAGGCTTGCTTGCCTTGTTGCCTAATACGTCTTCTGTCATAGTCCTTGACAGGTGTCAACACTCAGTTACTTGTTAGTTGTGAAAAGTACCTTTTTAAAATTCCGCCTTCCCCCCCAACTCCCCAGTCAGTCTCAGGTTTGTAAACTCTTCCTGGATTTGATCCCTAGGCCCACAGAAACAAAACACCTCCTCAAAGGAGAGGAATGGACATTGCTGGATAGTCTTCCTCTGTTTTCTCCTCCTGGGTTGAATGCAGACCTGCTAATGAATGCCCTTAGCTTCTCCCTACTCCATTGTATAATATATCCAGCTCCCAGTTTAATCAGATCTTGCCCTTTTCCTGCTCACAATCTTTGTTTTCTCCCCACCATCTAAAAAATTACCTAAGTATCTGGTGTGGCAATAGGAAACTGCTTTTATATACCTTCCTAGATTTCTTTCTCTTGACTTCTATTCAAACATATAGATTCCTCCTTTTGTGTTGTTTTTGTTTTTGCATATGCTCTTTTATTCCCCCCCCCCACCTTATTTAAACACTGGTTTACAAAGTTATTTGTGATGATTTGTCTTTGTTTATAAATTTATTTATTGATTCACCGTGAGAATAGTTACAAGGCTTTCAGGTTTAAGTCTCGGTCATACAATTATCAAATACCCATCACTTCACCAGTGCACATTTTCCACCACCAAAAACCCCAGTATACCCCTATCCCAACCCCTCCCCCTACCTGTGTGGCAGATAATTTCCACATTAATCTCTGTCTACTTTGATTACATTCAATATTGCAACACCAGCCCCACCATTATTTGGATTTTCCTCCCAACACTCAGCCCTGCTGGAAAGGCATAATTAGACAATTTGTTTTTTATTGCTGATTTTGAATAGCATATGATGCCGCGCAGTCGCTATCACGGCCCTGTGATCTTGGAATTCTGAAATTTTAATAATTAAATCTGGAGAGATTTCTGCGAAAAGCCGCTGGGTTCTGAGATTTGTGTGTCTCTGGGATCATGACTATAAAGTAGCTTAAGAAGCAGCCAGAGGGGTTGTCTGTAGGCAGCATCTCTGGTCTCATCTGGGTGTGGGAGGAGAAGGAGTGACTCCACCTCTATCCCATGAGACCCTGCGTGTCTCCTCACGGCTGGCCTGTACCTGACTGTCCAATGGGCTCTGGAAGATGGCGGCCACTGGACTGCCAGGGGAAATGGGCAGATCATGATGACTTTGACTTGTAAGCATTCAATATACCATCATCAACCGCCCACCACTGTCACTTTCACCATTGTCTTCATTTTCTCAATCACCTCTCAAGCCTACCCTAGTAGCAGGCCCACAATAGTTGATTTTATATTGCTTGTTACCACTAAATGTAACAGAATGATTAAGAAATAGTAAAAGAAAATTCGTGAAAATTGTATCTCAGCATGGGTACATTAAGTTCTTTTCTGAGGGCTTACTATGCTGTTGTTGCTGGTTAACCTTCTGTGTTGATGTTTTTGTTGGTAAAGTTTAGTTGGTTTCTAGTTTACATTCCCATCCAATCTAGTATGCTCCTACGAGGATGTTAGTATTGTAGAGTTTAGAGATGTCACACTACAGGATAGTTAATGGGGAAGTCTGACCAGAGGCATGGTGGCAGCTTTGGGTATGGGTGCTAGTGCTTTAGTAGGGCAGGCACTTGGCTCACCCCAGCTCCTGAGATGTTTGCAGAGGTCTCAACCAGGACCAGATATCAGAAATATTTGTGGCTAGTTGGTCTCATTTGTAGGTCTAATTATGAATCTCTGGAACAGGACCAGTAGATCAGCTTACATGGTGGTGGTGGTAGGAAGTGGGTGTAGCTGCCTGGACTTCCTGAAGTACGGGGAGGTGGGGGAGGTTGCCCACCCTGACTCCTAGAACATCCATAATTTTCAGCCATATAAACCTGCTGCATCTAATATTTCGGCTGGTTAGCATCTCTGTGGAGCTCAGTCATATGGTGGTGGAGTCTGGGCAGAGGCATGGTAGCAGCTTTTAGGGTGTGAGTGCAGCTGCCAGGGTTTTTTTTACTAGGCCAGGAACTTGGCCTGCCCAAGATGTCTGTCTGTCTGTCTGTCTGTCTCTCTCTCTCTCTCTCTCTCTCTCTCTCTCCAGACTTCCCTCTTTTTTTAAATTTGATTTTTTTGGTTGAATCACAATGAGATATACAGTTACAAAGTTGGTATTGATGAGTTTCAATCATACATAGTTCTAATACTTATCCCTTCACCACTTCACCAGTGTCCCACCATTAATGTCTACAGTTTCCCTTCTGCAGTGCCCCCCATTTCCTCTTTTTTTTTTTTTTTTTGCTTTTTGGGTCACACCCGGAGATGCTCAGGAGTTACTCCTGGCTCATGCACTCAGGAATTACTCCTGGCAGTACTCGGGGGACCATATGGGATGCTGGGAATCGAACCAGGGTCAGTCATGTTGGCTGCGTGCAAGGCAAATGCCCTACCCGCTGTGCTATCGCTCCAGGCCCCCCCTCCCTTTTCCTCTTGATGGACTGTTTTTATCCACTTGTTAAAATCTAATCTCACCTTTATGTGAGACATGTTCCTATTAAATTGAATGATAGTGAGAAAGGACTTCGCAAATTAAGAAAAGAAAAAAAATAGGAAGGGTAGAAGGCAGAGATAATAGTTCCCTTTTTCCCTAACTTTCTTTAAAAAAGACATGTTTGCTCTGAGTCATACATGGTTCCTGGAATGTGACTACTCTGAACTGTATACAACATACATGCAAAATGCTTACGGAGTTGCAAAGTGATAGAATGAGAAAAGAATCTAATGTATTTCTTTTTAAACATTGATTTTACATGTAGTGATATTCTAATATTTGAATTAAAATATTTATTTAAACTTAAATCTTAAGTGGCTTCTATTCATGTTACCAGTGAAACTGAGTATTGAGAATTTATGATGTCAAACACCTCTAGTAAGAAGTAGAGCTCTGAATTAAAGTACACAAGCTCAGAAAGACTGAGTTTGTTGGCATTAATTCCTTTGCATAATTAATATGCTAACTCTTCATACATAACCATACACAAACAAAGGTATTGAAATGAAAGGATATAATTTAATGAAGTATAGAGTAATATACCACAGTGTACCATAGTATAGAAGTATGTGATTTCTGGAGACTTTGGATATATCTCAGTTTTCTCAAAATTACAAAAAAATAGTTTTCCATGTTTTTTCTCTCAACACCTTCAACATAACGTCCTCTTAAGTGTCAACAAGTTGTGTCTAGTAATCCCTTGGCCAAAAGAAGAAATGATTTTGAATGAGTTACTGCTGAAGAAGCCGGGGCTGGAGCGATAGCACAGCGGGTAGGGCTTTCGCCTTACAAGCGGCCAACATGGCCGACCCAAGTTTGATTCCTCCGCCCCTCTCGGAGAGCCCGGCAAGCTACCGAGAGTATTCGATATGCCAGACACAGTAACAACAAAGTCTCCAATGGAGACGTTACTGGGCCCGCTCGAGCAAATCGACGATCAACGGGAGGGCCTTTACCTTTACGTTACCTTTACAGCTGAAGCTAGAAATGAAGTAAACCCATTGAGTTACGTAATTTAGGAGATAGGTGTCTATTACAAAATAGTGAAGGAATGCT